CCCTTGGCCCCACACACAGAAGCAGCCTGGCCCCTGGCTGTCCAGGAAGTGCAGCCCGAGAGGGTGAGTGGCAGACAGATGGTGCCCAGGAGACACGGCTCCAAGAGCAAATCCTGGAGGCAGACTCAGCCCACGGCGGCCAGACACAGAGGACGGCAGGGCAGGAGGACGGGATGGACCGCCGCTGCTCGGCCCGCGTCCGGGGAAGGGGGCTCTGCTGCGACTTGCACGCCTCTCTGGAACCCGAGCCAGCTCATGCTGCCATGGAGGCTGGGGTGATGGGCCTTTTCTCTCTGGCAGCAGGTGCCTGGCAGCTGACCGTGGATGCCAGCCCCGTGAGCTGGCATGGGAGGAAGTGCTTGTGAGAGTGGTGATTGTACGTGCTGGGCTTGGGCTGGCCCAGCCCCCTCCCCTGCCGTTTACACTGACTTGGGACACCCCCAGGAGACAGGTGCCTCTGGTGGGGGCCTCTTGGGGTCCCCCCCAGACAGAGGTTGGCAGCTGCCAGGCTTTGAGTGTCATTTCTAAACCAAGTCCCTTGCCCCCCAACCCTGCTCTGTCTGCCTCCCCCATCCCAAGGATTGTGGTCCACGGTGGTTGGGACAGGAAGCCTGAGGTTTAGTCTTAGGATTTCAGGCATCTCCCTGTGGGCACACCTGCCCCCTCCTCAACATGGACACTGGCTACTGTGCCTTAAGGCTACCCTGTGTGTGAATCTGCCCATGCCCTCCATGCAGGTGACCTCCTTCCAGAAGAATAAGGAATGGAAGGTAGAAATGTAGTTGAGAAGCGGGGCCAAGGGGTGCATAGGACAGAAAGGCGGGAAGGGTTCAAATGGAGGAGAGGGTCCAGGCGAACCTGGTGGATACTGAAGAGCTGGGTTGGTGGGGTGTCTCTTGTTTTAATGTCCCTGGGCTCCTGTCTGTTCCGGGCACGGGCCGGGCTGGAGAGGGTGGTAGGAAGCGCTGGCTTGGCCTTCCCCAGCCCTTAGGGAGCCCATCCACACCGGACAGAGCGCTGGAGGGTGTCCAGTCCCGTGGCACCCCCAGCCCAGGAGAGGTGGCCTTTGGCGTCTCCTGGCTCTTGGCCGCTGCCCGCTCCATCTCCACCTGGAGGACTGGGTGCCAGGCTGTCTCCCTGCCCCTCCCAGCCTCCGGGCACCGAGTCCCATGGCCGTCAGGGCTGAGGCGGAAGAGCGGCCGGCACGGGGCAGGGAGCCGCCAGGGCCGCGGCCCCAGGCTGAGAGCTGACGTCTGTCCAGGAGCATCTCTGTCCCTGCCAAGGGCTGAGATCCCGGGCCGCATGCCTTCCCTCTGACACAGGAGCCGGCGTCAGTCCCTCATGGAGCCTGGACCCCTGCCCCGCCCCAGAGCGGCCGGGTGACAGCTGCGGCGGCGCATGACCACAAGGCCCCCTCTTGCCTCCCTCTGGATCAGCCTGCCACCTTCCAGGCCAGTGTCTTCTGTTGGAGGGTTGGGTGATTTACAGTGTTGCGTTAGGTTACTGTTAGTTGCAGGTGTAGAGCAAAGTGATTGAGTTATACATGTACATACATCCATTCTCTTTCAGATCCTTCACTTGTATAGGCTAATGCAGAGTACTGAGTAGAGTTCCCTGTGCTCTATAGCAGGTCCCTGTGGATCATCTATTTTATATACAGTAGTGTGCTGTGCTGAGTCGCTCAGTCATGTCTGACTCTTTGCGACCCTATGGACTGTAGCCCACCAGACTCCTCTGTCCATGGGGATTCTCCAGGCAAGAATACTGGAGTGGGTTGCCATGCCCTCCTCCAGGGGAATCTTCCCAACCCAAGGATCGAACCCGGGTTCCCCACGTTGCAGGTGGATTCTTTACCGTCTGAGCCACCAGGAAAGCCCAGTAATGTGTCTAGGTTAATCCTCAATTCTTAACTTATCCTTCCCCACCCCCACCTTTCCCCTTTGGTGACCGTAAGTTTGTTTTCCAAGTGAGGACTGGGCCCCCCTGGGGCTGAGAAAACTCAGGTGGACCAGTGACAGGGATCTGAGTCCAGCTCTGGGATCTGGGTGCAGGGTTGTGGGCCAGCTGCTCTGGCGGTGGCTGTGGAGCGCGGGGCTGCCAGGGCCGGGCGGCAGGCCAGTGTGGGTGGGGCAGAGGCAGCAGGCGGAGAGGGCCTGTGTGAGCCGCCACCGCAGGGCTACTGGGGGAGCCCAGGGGCTTGGCAGGAAGAGGCTGAACGGACCCACGGGTACCCATGGGCAAAGAAGGGGTCATGGGGCACCCAGAAGAGTGCATCCCCAGGGCTGGGAGACCACCGGGAGAAGGCCCCGCAAGCCTGAAGATGCCTGCATGGTGCCTGTCCAGCCACCCCGTCTCTGACTGTCATGGGACTGGATGTGCTTAGAAGGAAGCTAAGGCGGTATTTACAACGCAGGGTGGCTGAAGGCTGCTGTTTCACCAGGAATTGAGTGGAAAAGCCCCAGGGCTGGCCTGGTTTTCATCTGGGACCAAGGAAGTTTATCTCCACTGAATAAAGTTGAAGGGGACAGGGAGAGGCAAAAACAAAGGCTGGATTTGATGACACTGGGGGTCACGTCTCTTCACACACCAACTTTACAGGTATCTGTCCCCCCCCTCAAATATATGTGTGTATGTGCAACTGAATCACTTTTCTGTACACCAGAAACTAACACAATATTATCAATTTGTAAATCAACTATACTTAAAAAAATGGACAGAGTCCAGACCAGGTCCTGTAAGCCATTTATTGGTTTGTTTTAAAAATATGCATCTTATTTATGCACGAAGTTCGGTGAGAAGTGCTTGGGTGGTTCAGACAACGGCTGGCACTTGGTGCTTCTCCCTCCCTCCTGTGTCCTCCCCTCCTGCTCCCACCTGCTGGTCACTGTGCAGTTCTGGAAAAAAGCAGTGAGAGACACGTACAAGCTCAGGAGTCGGTCTAGCTCGGCCCCGCCCTTGGCCACACGGGCTGCAGTCAGTGGCCGGCCCGGCACCCGCCTCAGGCTCCCGGGCTGTCCCCACACACACAACCCCGGCCTCCTTCCGGTCAGCTGGGCCTGCAGCCCGGCCGGCCTCCCTGCCCATGCAGGGTGCCAGGCGTCGCGGAGGGCACACACCTCTCCCAGCCTTGAGAGCACAGCACAGAGAGCTACAAAAATAAGATTTCCACTCAGAGAAGTGGTGCTGGGACAGTTAAAACCACATCCCACGCCAGACTTCAAGGGAACATGAGAGAAATCACTGGGGGCGGGGCGGGGGGGCGGCTGGGGCTGCCACCAAGGGAACCCGAGTGACAGGAAGAAACGGTAATACTTGACTCGCCGCTGGCGGCTCCCCCTCAGCTCCCCACAGCCGGCCCTCCGACGGCTTGGCGAGGTAGGTTAGGACAGCCAGCTTCTGGCTTCCGGGGCTGCCCCGAGAGGCGGCCTGTGAGGTGGCCGCCGGGTGGAGGGCGGCTTTGCTGGAGAGTGGGCTTGGGCAGCCGAGCCCCTGCCTGCACAGCCTCCACCAGCCACCACTGTCACTCTCAGGGTGACAGTTCTCTGCATGGAAAGATTTGCATATGCTCAGTAGGATTGTCAGCAGCTGAAGAGGCCCTGCGGCGGGGAGGGGGCGTGGGCCGAGGGGGGAGGGGGTGGGGGGGTGGGGAGGGTGGTGGTAATTGGACTAGAAAAAGTATTTTTCCCTGAAAAGGCCTGCTCACAAGACCCGTGGGCAGCCTGGACCCTGCCCCAGGAGGTCCCGAGTGCGGTGCCACGGGGACCCCGGGCTGAACGGGGCGGGGGGGGGGGGTGGCGCTGGTCCAGGGTCACTCGACTCCCTTTCCCAGGAGACCTGGGGTCCATTCCCCTCCTGAGCGTCCTGCAGCCCCTTCCGTGCACGCGGCCTGGGTAGCCCTCCCCACTCCTGTGCTGCCGCAGCTGGAGAGGAGCTGGGGTCCACACGGGCACCCCCTCAGCCCTGGGCAGAGGCAGAAAGGTCTGGAGAGCGAGCCTGGGTGATGACAGCGGATTCCATTCTCCACGCGGGCTGGCGGGCACCGTGCTGGGGGCTGTGGAGCGGGTTCTTCACCCCAACCCCACGGGCTCAGCCTCCTCTTGCTGGGGCAGGGCCAGCCAGGCTGCGCAGCACGGACAAGCGGGGTGGCAGGACGTATGCGCCTCCCTCAGGCCCTTCCCTTAATGTTAATACTCTAACAGAGGCCAAGCTCTACAGGGAAGAAAGGCAACGTCAGTGCCGAGGACAAGCCCTGGGAGCCGGCCGCTCTCTTCTGGAAGCTTGTTGTATTTATAGGCCTGACTCCAGGGCGGCCTGCATAAACATACAGGGGGAAATGGGGCAATGAGTGAGCCCTGGCTGACAAGAATCCCACCTGTGGGGGGCCGCTCACCTCGGGGAGCCCAGGAGTGTCACACTCTGTGAGTGTGAGAGTGCGCGCACGTCTGTATGGGAAAGGGTTCAGCCCGCCTGGCACCTCAGCCCAAGCGGCGGGGGACCCCCTTTCTGCCCGCCCCTAGGCGGTGAAGGCCGATGGGACCCACACTGGATCTCACTTTTGCATTGACAGCAGGACCCCAGCAACTCCACAGACACTCTTGTTCAGAGTTAGGAAGAGGCAGTGTGAATCGCTGCTGATCCATCCATGAAAAAAAAAAGTTCTTTGCTCAAGTAAAAAAATATCAAATATAATAAATGTATGAAAGCCCATTCACAACATAGTCTTGGTTTCGCGTTTTGTTTCAGCAGCTGGGACGGAAGTGGTGGTCAGAGCCCCAGGGCGCTACCGGACCAGACCCGGCCCCCCAGGACTGGTAACCCCAGACGGACAGCTCGGCCAAGTGCTTCCAGCCATCGGCGCGGTGCACAGGACTGCCTGGTCGGTCCACAGGGCGAGGCTCCTCTCTCACTCCCGAAGCCCAAAGCAAAGGTCCGACGGCCCAGCGGCTGCCCTTGGGTTTGCCACGATGCTCTGCGCTGGCGCCCCCCTCCCTGGGCTGCGCTCACACGACTGACTCGCGGTCCCTGTCGGGGGTTGGGGGGAAGTCGGCGAGATCCTCGCTTGGGCTGTAGTCAGACGCCCGCACCTGGGGGTTGTCGCTGGTGGCCCTGGTGACGCTGTCGTAGGAGGGCGGGAAGGACGTGGAGGAGACGGAGGAGCTGCAGGGCGGGCCGAGGCGGCGGGAGAAGTTCTCGTTCATCATGTAGGCGATGAGGCCCTCCTGCTCCGGGGCGTCCTCGTCCGAGAGGCCGCTGCTGCCCGCCTGCCGGCGGTAGAGGAAGGAGGCGTGCTTGACCGAGCGCTGCAGCAGGTGCCGGCGGAAGGCCCGCTGGATGATCGTGGCCGACACCTCCTCGTGCTTCCGGCGCAGCGTGGTGGTGATGGGCTCGTAGGAGATCTTGGACGGGTTGGCCGCCATGAACTTCTCCTCCATCTGGATCTTCAGGGCGTCCATCTCCCCAGATTCGCCCAGGACCCTCTTGGTGAAGGCAAAGAGGATGTCCATGCAGTGGATGCGGTCCCCGCTCACCATGGGCAGGTCCATATTGATGAGGCTTATCTGGTTGGGCTTGGGGATCCGGAGCGGCTCCGACAGGGCGTCGGCGAAGTCGGACAGGGCCGAATACTCGATGAACTGGGTGGCCTCCGGGTCGAACTTCTCCCAGATCTCGTAGAACATGTCAAAGTCGTCCTCACTCAGGGGCTCCGTGCTCTCCTCCGTGGCCACGCTGAAGTTCTCCAGGATGATGGCGATGTACATGTTGACCACGATAAGGAAGGAGATGATGATGTAGGTGGTGAAGAAGAGGATGCCCACTGCGGGGCTCCCGCAGTTGCCCCGGGAGCCGTTGCTGTTGGGCAGGTTGGGGTCGCAGTAGGGGGGCCCCGTGTTGAGGATGGGGCTGAGGAGCCCGTCCCAGCCCGCCGACGTGGTGATCTGGAAGAGGCACAGCATGCTGTTGGCGAAGGTCTGGAAGTTGAACATGTCATCGATGCCGGCCTCCCACTTGACGTAGGCGAAGTTGGCCATGCCGAAGATGGAGTAGATGAACATGACGAGGAAGAGCAGGAGCCCGATGTTGAAGAGGGCGGGCAGGGACATCATGAGGGCGAAGAGCAGCGTGCGGATGCCCTTGGCCCCGCGGATCAGCCTGAGGATGCGGCCGATGCGGGCCAGGCGGATGACGCGGAAAAGCGTCGGGGAGAAGAAGTACTTCTGGATGATGTCTGAGAGCACAGTGCCTGTGGGAAACAGCGGAGACTGTGGCTACCGGTGGCATCACTGTCCTCCCTCCAGCCCAGCTTCTCTGGGAGGGGTCTCTGCACAGCAAGGAGCCTGGGAGCAGAGGCCTGGGTCACCTGGGGCCTGGAAGGACCCTACCTTCACCCACCTGAGTCTCTGTTTCTGCATTTATGGTCCAGAAAAGGACCCACAGTTCCTGCATCCTTTGCAAAGTGTCTTCTCAGCCCTCAGCTCCTTAGTCTCCCGAGCCTACCTGCACAGCAGAGCCATGCTAGGCCCATTATCCAGACTGTGGTTTGGGGGGCCTCAGCGGACTTGCTCAGCATCCCTGATAGCCTAGCTTGGACCAGAACTCTAGAACTTTTAGCTCCTTGCTGATCAGAGTGTGGTCTGAGGCCTTGGGATTTCCTGGGCCCTCATCAGAAATGCAGACTCTCAGCTCCGCCCCAGACCCCCTGTGTTTTAACAAGTCCAAGTGGTTCGTGTGTGCACTGAAACACAAGAGGCACTGGCCAGGCCGTTGGCGCACTCCTCACACCTCACCTGTCACAGCTCAGCCTCTCTGAGGTACTTCCTGTGACCTTCCCACCCCTGCTAGCTGCTAGGCCTGCCTACCCCGACTCTGCTGACTATTCTGGGTTTGGAGCTTCAAGGAGCATGGATGTAAGTTATAGAAGAAAGAATGGAATATACTTGCCTCGTATTGGCCCAAGTGAACTTTCCAGACTTCTCATATATTAGGTTGGTGCAAAAGAAATTGTGGTTTTTGTATTGTTGAAATTTGCCATTTGATATTGGAATACATTTTAAATAGATGTGGCTAGGTTCTACATCATTTTAATGTGCATTTCTTGCTTTATGTTTTTTTTTTGCTAATGACTTATTACCTGCTGTTTATTTTATATTTATTTTAGACTATGGAGATGATGTTAGACAAAAAACATGTTTGAGTGATCTTCTTTTTTGAGTTCAAAATGGGTTGTAAAACAGCACAGATAACTTGCAACATCAACAATACATTTGGCTCAGGAGCTGCTAACAAATGTATAGTGCAGTGATGGTTCAAGAAGTTTTGCAAAGGACACGAAAGCCTTGAAGATGAGCAGCACAGTGGCTGGCTATTGGAAGTTGACAACGACCAATTGAGAGGATCATTGAAGCTGATCCTCTTCCATGAGAAGTTGCCAAAATTCAATGCTGACCAGTCTACAGTCTTTCAACATTGAAGCAAATTGGAAAGGTGAAACAGCTCAGTAAGTGGGTGCCTCTTAAGTTGACCTCAAATAAAAAAAAAAATCATCCTTTTGAAATGTCATTTTTCTCTTATTCTATGCGACAACAACGAACCATTTCTTAATCGGATTGTGATGTGTGATGAAAACTGGATTATATATCACAACCAGTGATGACCAGCTCAGTGGCTGGACCAAGAAGAAACTCCAAAGCACTCCTCAAAGCCAAATTTATACCAAAAAAGGTCATGGTCACTGTTTGGAGGTCTGCTGCCCATCTGATCTACTACAGCTTTCGGAATCTCTGCGAAACCATTACATGTGAGAAGTATGCTCAGCAAATTGACGAGATGCACTGAAAAATGCAACACCTACAGCCAGCATTGGTCAACAGAAAGGGCCCAGTTCTTCTCCATGACAATGCTCAACCATACACTGAACAACCAACACTTCAAAAGTTGAAGGATTTGGGTTACAAAGTTTTGCCTCATCCGCCATATTCACCTGACCTCTCACCAACCCACTATCACTTCTTCAAGCATCTCGACAACTTTTTGCAGGGAAAACGCTTCCAACTTTCAGCAGGAGGCAGAAAATGCTTTCCAAGAGTTCGTCGAATCCCAAGGCATGGATTTTTGTGCAACAGGAATAAACACTCATTTCTCATTGGCAAAAATGTGTTGATTGTTGGCTCCTATTTTGATGAATAAAGATGTGTTCGAGCCTCGTTATAATGGTTTAGAATTCACAGTCCAAAAGCGCAATTACTTTTGTACCAGCCTAATCATAATGTCACTCACTAACATGTGTCAAGTGTTCACTGTCCGTAAAGCACTGGGCTGAGCAATTCACACATCCGTTTACCCCTTCCAGTTACCCTAGGAGGCAAGCTGATACTATCATCCTCACTTTCCAGAAGCGGAAACTGAGAGGTGAGGCAAACCTAGTCGGTGAGAAGCGGGGATTTGACTCAGACACTCTGGCTCCAAGTTGAGCTGTTAACCATGCCTCTCTGGTGCACAAGCTCTGGGACCAGTAGTTCCTGAATATAGTCTACACTGCCTGGAACCTTTGAGGCTGTCCCTCAGGGCTCCGTTCCAGCTCCTGACACCTGCTTTAGAGAAAAGCTCCTCTCTAGTCCCACCAGGCATGGTCTCACCCTCATTCCCGCCTGAGACCTCCTGGAGCATTTCCTGACCCCACTTCCAGCTTCTAAACATCTGTGCATCACTCTAGCCACAGCAGCCCCTCTCTTGGCCCCTGCCTTTTCCTCTGAGTCAATGAAGAGGCTATACATGGCAGCAAGATGAAAGCCAGTTATCCCACGGCAGAGGTCTGTGGGGGCAGGGTCCAGATTGGGCTCTGAACACAAGTGACAGAAGAAAGTATTGATACATTGGACTTAAAACCTCTGTGCTTCAAGAGGTGACAACCATGAAAGTGAAAAGACAACCTACAGAACAGGAGAAAATATCTGCAAATTGTGTATCTGATAAGGGACTGGCCTCCGGAATATATAAAGAATTCTTACAACTCAATAAAAACACAAATAAGTCAATTAAAAAATCGAGCAAAGGATTGGAACAGACATTCCTCAAAGATACTTCTCCTGTTATATACCAAGATATACCAAGGAAAATGACCAATAAACACGTGAAGAGATGTTCATCATCATTAGTCATCAGGGAAATGCAAACCAAAACCTCAATGAGATGTCACTCCATACCAATTAGCAAGGCTGTAATTAAAAAATACAGACAGGAACAAGTGTTGGTGAGGATACGGAGTAACTGGAACCCTCCTACATTGAATCTGGGATTGTAACGTGCTGCAGTCATTTTGGAAAATAGTTTGGCAGTCCCTCAAAATTTTAGATTAGTGGCTGCCAGGGGGTGCCTGGCTGTGACTCTGAAAGTTGCTCAGTCATGTCAGCTCTTTCTGACTCCATGGACTGTATAGTCCATGGAATTCTCCAGGCCAGAATACTGGAGTGGGTAGCCTTTCCCTTCTCCAGGGGCTTCACAACCCAGGGATCGAACCCAGGTCTCCTGCATTGTGGGCGGATTCTTTACCAGCTGAGCGACAAGGGAAGTCCAAGAATACTGGAGCTGGTAGCCTATCCCTTCTCCAGTGGATCTACCTGACCCTGGAATCGAACCAGGGTCTCCTACACTGCAGGCGGATTCTTTACCAACTGAGCCGCCAGCAGGTAGGGAGAGGGAAAATGGTGAGCTCAGTGGGTACAGAGTCTCTTTTGGGGGTAAGGGAAATATTCTAAAATTAGAGCATAATGATGGTTGCACAGGCATGTGACTATACTTAAAAGTACTGAACTGTACACTTGAAAGGGTGGGTGTTGTGTTATGTAAAGTATATCTTAATAAAACTGTTCTTTAAAGAAGGAAGGCTCTGAGGTCAAACAGATATGGGCGTGTGCTCTGTTCTCAATGTTTCTGCCTCCCCCTGAGTTCATCTGTTGAAATTCCCCCCCTCAAAGATGATGGTATTGGGAGGTGGAACCGTGGGAGGGGCTTAATTTCATGAGGGTGGAGCCCGAATGAATGGGCTTAGTGCCCTTAGAGAAGTGGCTCAGGGAGCTCTCTGGCCCCTTCCAGTCTGTGAGGACACAGGAAGAAGGTGTGGGTTGTGAGCCAGGAAAAGGACCCTCAGCAGAAAACCTGATCATGCTGGTGCTTTCCTCGCGGACTTCCAGCATCCAGATCTGTGAGAAGTAGATTTCTGTTGTTTGTGAGTTCCCCAGTCTGCTATTTTTGTTGTATCAGCCTGAGTAGACTATGTGGGATTCCTATCTCTGCTTCTCCCTAGTTGAATGATTTCCCTGCCTTGGTGCTGACTTTATATGGTGAAATGCATGAGGCAAGTGATGTCTGAAGAAGCCTGGCACACACCAGGGTGGCCAGGTGGCAATTCTCAACTCCAGAATGTCCATCTCCAGGGTTAACTTCTACTTTAGAGGGCCACCGCCCTCCCAACTCTGGAGACTCTTCCTTGGGCTTGAAGGTTTTCCCTTGGGAAGGCAGGGAACCCCTGAAGGCCCCATTCCCTTTCCTAGACTCACCCTCGAAGCTCTCCAAACAGAGAGCTGTGTTCTAGGACCTCAGGGAGGGTGGGACCAGGAGGGGCTGTTGGCTCCTCTGCCAAGCTGGCCCCTTGGCCTGAGTGGCCTTCCCAGATGTGTGTGTGTGTGATCGTGGGGGTGGGGGTAGGAAGGACTATAGGGAGCAAAGAATGCAGAAAGCTGGTGTACTTGGCACTGAGGACAGATCAGGGGCTGAGGGAGCGAGACGCCTGGCCTGGGGAGGCCTTCTCTGCCCGGCTGACGTGCATACCCACCCACGATGGAGAGGATGACGACCACGAAGTCAAAGATGTTCCAGCTGTTGGTGAAATAATAGTGGCGCAGGGCAACCATCTTGAAGATACACTCGCCTGTGAAGATGCCTACGAACAGCAGGTTGATCTTGGCCAAGATGTTGACCTTCTCAGGGCTCTGGTCGTCTGTCTCCACCATCATGGTCACCATGTTTAAGCAGATGAGAAACATGATGGTGACGTCGAAGGCCTGCTTGGTCACGATGTCGAATATGAAGCCCTGGTACTTGTTCTGAAAGGAAGGCCAAAGGACGCGCTCAGCAGGGGCCTCAGACAGGCTGGCAGGCCTCCTTCGCTGCCTCTCAGCCCAGACCACCCGCCCTCCTACTCCACCCTCCGGGGCAGGGGCGTCCAATGCCCGCAGACTGTCACGGGGAGAGGAGAAAGGCAGGAGGCTGGCCAGCCTGGCTCCCTGCTGAGAGCTCCCTGGGCCTCCAGGCCCAGCCCAGGCCCCTTGTCCAGACGCCATCTGTCATGGCGCTTCAGGAAAGGACTCCTACCCCAAGTTTCCTCAGCCCATTGCTCATCAAGCTTCTCTTTTTGCTCCTGCTGTCTGAAGGCTCAAGGTCACATCTAAAGTTCAGCTCTAGAAACTGTCTCAGCCCTCAGGCTAACAAAATTTCTCCATTCTTTCTATGGAATTTGTTTTATTTATTCCATTGACTATATATATATGTGTCTTGAATTGTAAGATTATTTTGGGGAAACTGTTAGTCACTCAATCATGTCTGACTCTTTGCAACCTCATGAACTGTAGCCCGCCAGGCTCCTCTGTCCATTGGATTCTCCGGGCAAGACTACTGGAGTGGGTTGCCATGCTCTTCTCCAGGGGATATTCCCAACCTAGGGGTTGAACCCCGGTCTCCCGCATTGCAGGCAAATTCTTTACCATCTGGGGATGGCAGATTCTTTACCCATTTTGGGGAAGAGAGATGATTATAAATAATTGAAAACACACACACACTTCTAATCTAGACCAGAGCATGGAGAACAGGAAAGAGTCAGATGACATGGATGAACTGGATGCAAAAACAGGTTGCCACTTACAAGCTAATGATTTAGGTATCATCACCTGCGTAACCTAGGCTTCCCTGGTGGCTCAGCTGGTAAAGAATCTGCCTGCAATGCAGGAGACCTGGGTCAGATCCCTGGGTCAGGAAGATGCCCTGGAGGAGGAAATGGCAACCCACTCCAGTATTCTTGCCTGGAGAATCCCATGGACAGAGGAGCCTGGTGGGCTACAGTCTGTGGGGTCACAAAGAGTTGGACATGACTGAGTGACTAACACTTTCACCTGAGTTACCTAAGTATTGCCCCCATCCTGCTCCAGCACACACACACACATACACACACATGGGTGTGTGTTGGCCCGATTTGGCCAAGGGAGTCAGCCTAGCAGAGAACCCAGCACCACCCACCCCCAGGCCCCGGCCGCCTGGGGACTCTACAGCTCAGGGAGTTGCAAGGATGAGGGTACCAGGGGCTGCCCAGCCCTCCCCGGGGAAAGCCTGCAGCGCCGCGGGGGAGGAGGGGCCTCACTCAGAAGTCCCTGCACTCCCACAGCTGCCTCATGCCTCCCCTCTGCCTCCCCGAGACTGAGGTCCCCGTGCATGACTGGAGGTCCCTCCTTCCCTGGGCAGGCCACGGGCCCCAGGTGGCACCAAAAGACTGTGAAGAGGCCCCGATAGTTGGTCTTGTGGTGTGGGGGCTTCCCAGCACCCGCTTTGGGCAGATCTTCCCCACTCCCACCGAACTGAGAGCCTGGCTCACCAGGGGCCGTGGGATGGGCTTCTGGGGCTTCTTGGAGCCCAGCTTCTTCATGGCATTGTAGTACTTCTTCTGCTCCTCTGTCATGAAGATGTCCTGGCCCCCTAAGTGCAGAGAGACAGGCACCAGCCTCATTTGGGGGTTCTCGGGGATCTAGCCTCCTTGGTGAGGGTGCCAGGGTGGCCCTCCTCCTCACTTCCTCTCCTGGGGGAGAAAGGCATGCCTTATCCTACATCAGAGATTCCCCCTCAACCACCACCCCAGACCTGCTTCTCCAGGGTCCCTTTCCCCATTCACCTTGAGCTCTCTCTGACTTTGGGACTTGCAAATGCAGCCCCGACCTCCATCCTCTCCCCTGCCCAGCTCAGCCATCCTGGAAGTTCCCTCCGCCCACTTGGTACCCAACCGTACCTTCTAGGATGGAACTCTGGGAAGACCCAGGCCTCTGTGCAGTGGCTCCCCACCCCCACCCCCATGATCCCTGATCACGGGCCAGGTGAAGAGTCCCAACTCTCACCCCAGCTTCTCTCAGGAGCCTCATCTCTCAGACTAGGGCAGGCGTGGGGCCCCTTGTCACACACTTACAGGCCTAAGCGGGTCACATCATGGATACACCCCTCTCGCACCCCATCCCAGTGGGAGCTTAGTCCCCAACAGGAAGGAAGAATGGGGCCAGGAGCCAGAAGGGCCGCCAGGTGCCTGGCACCCAGCCCTGCCCTGCAGCCCACGGAGCCCGTGCTCGACGTATCTTTTTCTTCTGTTGGTTGAAGTTGTCAATGATGACACCGATGAACAGGTTCAGGGTGAAGAAAGACCCAAAGATGATGAAGACGACAAAATAGATATACATGTAGAGGTTGTATTCCCACTGGGGCTGCTCCTCGTACTAGAAGGGAGAAAGCAGACAGGAGGTCAGGCAGGCAGGAACGCGGGGTGGGCTGGCTGGGTGTCAGAGGAGCGTCACCACACGGGGTGTGGGTCTGCGTGTGTGTGAGGGGCGGGTGGGGATGGAGCTGAGGAGGGTGGGTGGTGGCAGGTGAGGAGGGCAGGCACGCTGGGCTCGGCGCTGGCCCTGCCCCTGGGCCACTGGCAGGTGTGAGTATATGGGGGCGTCTCTCAGCCGTCAGCTGTCAGTGTGATATGGTGGCTGGTGTATGTATGTGGGGCAGGGACTGGACCACAGAGAAACTTGATTTGTGTCTCTGCTGCTCCCTCCCCATCCTCTAAGGGTAGGATTTTGGTTCAGCTAAATTACAGTGAATGCAATTCACAAGATATCTGAGAATCTGGGGAGTCCCTGGGAGACCGTACAACCATGTCCCAGGGGCAGCCAAGGGCATTCCAGAGAGCCTTGACTCTGGGCTGACACACGAGACCTGGCCCTTACGGGCTGCAGACCCTGTTTCCGTGGTGGCTAAGCAGCTGGGAACCTTGGGTGCTTGGAACCTTGACCGACTCAGGGAGAGAGACCAGCGTGACAACCTACCCCCCTGGAGTCTACAGCTGCATACATGATGTCCATCCAGCCTTTAAATGTTGCCTGGAAGGAAGAGACAAGAGTAAGGAAATAATTTAATTCTGCATCTATGGAGCTACTTCGGGCTCCTATCTGGACAGATGGGACCAGGAAGTAACCTCCCACCAGAAGCAGAAGCAGCCTGCTCCACCCTTTCAGTGGTATCCAAATGGCTGGGCAGTTGGGGAAAGGGCTTCTTGTTCAGGGCTGAGGGGGAGGGGAAGCCAGCCAAGCAGACAATCCAGGAAGGTCATTTAGTGGGGGAATAAGCATTTTGATGTTGGCCAAGAGACTACCCTTCAGATCTGCATTCATTCCAGATTCTAAAATGACACAGAGGCCTACAGGGGGTGTCAGGAACAGAGAGGGGGCACTAGGGTTCTCTGCTCTGGTAAGGTGGACCCCAGTGCTGACCTGGCCCTCTCTGTCATAAGCCTTGGGGCTTCTGCTCCACAGCTTTCCAAGGACGTCCCTCAAGCATCCTAACGTTCCCTCATACGTAAGGGGGTCCTTTTGCTAGTGGTGTGTTGGCAAATGACTAACAACAAGTGGCTTTCCAGAAGGAAAAGTAAAAGCCCTGACGGGGCTTCCTGGTGGCTCAGTGGTGAAGAATTCGCCCGCCAATGCAGGAGACATGGGTCCGATCCCTGACCCAGGAAGATCCCATATACTGAGAAGCAACTAAGCCCGTTTGCCACAGCTATTGAACCTGTGCTCTGGAGCCCAGGAGCCACAACTACGGAAGCCCTTGAACCCTAGAGGCTGTGCTCTGCAACAAGAGAAGCCAATGAGAAGCCCGCACACGGTAACTAGAGAGTAGCTCCTGCTTGCTGCAACTAGAGAAAAACCCGTGCAGCGGTGAAGACCCAGCACAGCCAAAAATAAATAACACAAAATTATACATAAAGAAAGTCCTGACTGTTGTGTTTGCCAACTTCTCTGTGTAAACATTCCCATCATGGCCAACCTCGAGTTTCCAAAGTGTCGTTACTGAACTCAGTTCTGGAAAGAGATGCACAGGACCACAGCGTTGTAGTGTTTCCATGGTATGACTATAATAGGCGTGAGTAACCTCAAGAGCATAGATGATAATAAGCGGTAATGGTAAGTTTTTATTTTGTTTCAATATTGTTGAGTTAATTACAAGTTTATAAATCTAATTTTTAATAATGGCTCACAAAATATCGGAAAATATAACAACCGGCTCTTGCGAGTCCACACTCGCTGGTTCTGGCATGGCAGGAAAGAGCAGGCCGAACAGGACAGGGTCCTGGTGCCGGTTGCATGGACAGCCCCAGGCTGGGCTGCTAGGATGATTCAGAGCTGAGGGACGTGCTTGGTGGTGAGACTGACTACCTAGAGGATCTCATTTGTGTCCTCAGCATAATCCTATCATGTCCTGAGGCTCTTTTCAGGTGTAAGCTGGTCTACACAGATTTCCCCCATCTGAGAGTTTTTATGAGTCAGGGAGGGTGGATGGGGAAACGAAGGCATCCACAGAGAAGGCAGCTGCTTCAGCTTCCTGTGCCATGGGGCCTCACCCACACAGAGAGGCCTGGAGATGCGGTGGGACCTGCTGGGGACCAGCCAAGGTTACGAGGTGCCCATGACCAAATTCCTTCTAGCCACTGTGTGGTTGTGTCTGCAACGGCAGGCAGCTCTCAGACTACAACAGGGGGCTTTCCTTCCAAGTGCTGACATTCAGAATGGAAGGCTCTCTGGGTTGGGCTCTAGTCCTGTTCCCCATGAAGTATTTCAGGGACTCTGGAGAGAGCTACTCCTGGGATTTAAGAGGTGGGTGGAAGTGCTTCCCTGGTGGATCAGCAGTAGAGAACCCACCTGTCGATGCAGAAAATGTGCAGGAGGCTACGATTTGATCCCTGGGTCAGGAAGATCCCCTGATGAAGGAAATGGCAACCCACTCCAGTAATCTCACCTAGGAAATCCCATGGACAGAGGGGTCTGGTGGGCTACAGTCCATGGGGTCACAAAGAGTTGGACACAACTGAGCAACTAAATAACAAAAACAACAATGGAGGTGTGAGGGGATGTGCTGAGTTTCCTTCTGCTCAGCACAAGAGACAGGTGTCTGGGCTTCGCATTGGGACAGCAAGAAGAAAAGGCTGCAGCTTTATGTGTTACAGTTCTGCTTGCGTTTCTGCTGTCAAGGCTATTTGCATGCTGTGCATTATAGTCACTGAAGCCATCGTCCTCACAAATCAATAGAAACTTCGGTAGGGCCGTGAGTGTTTGAACATCTTGCACATTAGAGATGAAAGTAAATATATTCTTTTAAACAATGCAGGAGGAATCACTACCTTGTATAACAGAGGGGTGGCCAGAGGCACAGTTTTGCTAGTGGTTCAGCCCCTGGGTGTCTCTGGTCACTCACTTGCAACCTGTGCTATCGTGCTGCCAAATGGACAGCAGAGGAGCCAACCTGACTGCTGGCTGGACGGCTGGGGAAAATGCCGCAGCCCTGGAGTCCCACGCCATGTTTGCAAAGTGTAGCATCTTCTTTAGAAAGCAACATCTGGCGCCTTCCCAAACAGACAAGAAGTCTCTGGAGAATCCTGACCCTCCTTGGGGCAACACAACCCTATTGTGAGGATCCAGAGTGGCCGCGCTGGCCCCCTCCTGCCCACAGCATAGGGGAAGGTGCCTGTTGCTGGACAACCAGTGAGAGGAAGGCAGTCCCCCCACCCACCCACCATGGGACTCACCACCTGCAGAAGGGCCAGGTACCCGGCCCCCACGTTGTCAAAGTTGACTTTCACCTTGGTCCAGTACAATTCGCCAGTCACGTTGAAAGACTCACAGTCGCTCTTGTTGTTCACGATGGTATAGTTCAAGGGCATGTCTCCCTCGGTCTGGTTGATGCACCTCCCAAACTTCCCCGCAAAGAGGTTCACGCCCATGATGCTGAAGATGAGCCAGAAGATGAGGCAGACGAGAAGGACGTTCATGATGGATGGGATGGCGCCCACCAGGGCGTTGACCACAACCTCAAGTGGGCAGAGAACAGGCTCAGTTTCTGGGGGTGCTCAGAATGCACACCCTTTGTAAGATGCCCCTCCCCAAACCTACTGAACCCCCTGGGTATAGGTCCCTGTGGGGGTAGGGGTGGGGAACATTTCCTGTCACCAAGGAAGGACAGTCCATGGCTGGAAGCTCTGGTGGGCAGTGAGAGAGAACACACACGCGTTCTGCTCTGCACCCCATAGTCTGATACAGCTCAGAGCCTCTGGTCTTATCCTTCATAGCCCTGCCTGGAATCCATGACCTTCAAACTTAACTTTCAGCACGGTCTCTGCTAGATAGTATGCCAGAAATCTGATGGGGAAGAAAGGGTCTCTGGAGATACATTCTCTGAGTTTCTGGTTTATTTTGGGGCTGCTGCTCCCGAGATGGATGGGTATTCTCCTGTAAAATGTGCCCGGGGGATCTCCGGCTGGTACACGTGGAGGGTGCTGTGATGGGATCGGGGCTGGCAAGGCAGTCTGTGCGCACTTTCTGCCTCTGCCCTCTCCAGGGAGCGGCCCTCTGACCCCATGGAGCCACGGCCCCATGCTCTCTTCATTTAAACTCACGGCACCCAGGAGAGGCATCCTTGGCAAAAAGAACTGGGGACTTCACTCCAGGGAGAGACCTAGTCCCCAGCTGTCTGTGAGCCAGGGACATGTTTGCCACACAGGCTGGAAGCAGAGCTGGCGTGGGGCTGTGTGGTGGGTATGGTGCCAGGACGGGTAATGCTGCCACGTGCAAAGAAGTGGGAGGGGGTGTCCCTGGCCCAGCATGCGATGAACATGGGAACAGGGTGGGAAACCAACTCTTGCATTTGCCTTTGGCTGGCTCTGTGGCCAAAAGCCACAGCAGAGGCATTCCTGGTAACTAGTGTCTCCCCCGTGTCCCCATGCCCCATGAACCAAGGGTTTTTTCTCTCATTGGACATATGGGAGCATTTAACTTAGGTTATTCACTTGTGAATGGCTTCCCCCCAGAAATAAGTGGTTTGTTTCTCCATGGATTGGGGATGTGGGCCAAGTTCACAACCATCAGCCGAATGGGGCTGCACAGTGGTGTCTTCCGGGTCAGTGAGAGACACACGGAGGTGTCTGCTGAAGTCACGACAACCGTGCACGTTCCGTAAAAGCAATAAAAAACAAAGAACATTTCCACACAAACATATAGGCTTGTTTTCTTGCTATATATCACAGGTAATGTTTTTTCTTGGTGGGCTTTTAAATTTGCCTTAAATGTGCACGTTCTTCGGTAAAATCTAGTGACTGGAAAAAAGGCAGAGCTCTCTGCACTTAGAAAACAGTGCCAAAGAGTTTAGTAAGCAAACCAAACTGCTCTCTGATGGTAGGACTACAACTGGCGCCTCCCTCGCTTGCTTTATCCTCAGTAGCCCTGCCCTACTGCCCATCCTAGACAGAGGGGCGGCAGGCTGTATCTGTCAGGAGGCGGGGCACACACAGACACGAGGCCCCACGGGAGAGCAGGAACCGAAGGGCTGGTGAGGCTGGGCTGCCACTGAGACACCGTGGTCCAGCCCTTGCTTCCTTTCCTTCGTCAAGTGCTCTCTGGCCCCCTTGGAGCCCATCGGACTGGGGCATCAGGCCTGGGGGGAGGTTCTAACAGCTCTCCACCTCCAGGCACCTCTAAGCCCAGCCGTACCTCCTGGAGATCTCACACATGTTTGCAGCAGGTCAGGGCTGCCTAAACAGCAAGTGAGTCTGGGGGTCCCCTTTACAGAGCCACCGCCCACTGCTCCCATGAGGAGAGCCACCCCTCTTACCCTCATGCCCTCAAATCGTGACAGGGCTCGCAGTGGTCGGAGCGCACGCAAGGTCCGCAGTGACTTGATGGGGCCCATCTCAGCAAAGCCCAGGGCGTTGGCCACCAGGCTGATCAGCGAGACCTGTAGGAGGCGGGTGGATGGGGCCACGAGGCCAGCTCGAGACCAGTGGTGGGGCTCTTGGCCCACCAAACACAGGCTGGGTTCGGTGAGAGGGCCAGCACACCTGCCCGTGTCCAGGCTTTATGATTTCCGGCGGGATCGTCTTCATAGGCTGTCCTGTGCTGGGCCAGCCTTACCCGGGCCCAAGAGGCTGGGGCCAAGGCCAGGCGTGTCCCAGCTTTCAGACCCTCGCCAAGGGCCTGCTGTGTGCACTTCACAGACATGTCTGTGACAGCTCCACTCACCCCGGCCTTGGAATGCATCTCCCCATTCTACAGATGAGAAAATGGAGTTCCAAAGCTACCTGCTAGCGTGGAAGAGCAGGGCCACAAAGCCTGGGTGGCTTTAGGTCCCTGTGCGCTTTCTTTCAAATCAGATTATTGGGCTGGCCCCTCCCATCCCCCAGAGTAGACTCTTTAGGGGAAGAAGGACCATTCTGAGTTGAATATGAGCAGACAACCACCCTGGGGCATTTCCTCAAGGCTGAACCTTGCAACATTCTGTCATCTTCACAGAAGAGAGGCTCAGATGGAGCCCCTGCAGACTGCTCTCTGCTTCCTCTGCCTTGTCCCCACCGGGACATTTCTACCCCTCGGACTTTATCCTTCTAAAGCTCCACAGGCATCCAATCCCGTCTTATGTCACTGCTGGCCAGTGATCACAGGTTGGACATGGCCTCCTGCCTGACCATGCCGGCTATCACCATTACCGCCACCCAGGCTCTGAGGGCAGCCTGGGGGTGGTGAGGGGCCCTGGGGAGTGGGGAGTGGGGGGTAGGCGTGACCCCCATAGCCTGCTCTCAGGCTTGGAAGGGCAGGTTGGGAGAAGGCTGGGCAGAAGAGCTTGGAGGAGTTGCCTCCTCCAAGGACTCCCAGGATGGACTTCTGTGCTGCGCTGACTCACCCCTCGAGGATGCTGGTCCCCACTCTGGAGAAGACGAGGGTCATCTCTCAGGGACCAGGTCTGGCCAGGCCCCCCAGCGAGTCCCCAGCAGGCCGCCCTTGTCTGTTCCTTCCCAAGCTCGCCCCGCCTTTCTACCCCATCTCAGCGGATGGCAGCTCCACCCTTCCAGCTGCCCAGGCCACAAGCCTTGGCATCATCCCTGCCTTCTCTCTGTCTCACACACCCGACATCTAACCCATTAGGATTTCCTGTTGGCTCTACCTTCAAAATACGTCAGAAGTCCAAATACTTCTCACTGCTTCCACTGCCGCCATCCTGGCCAGGCCACCGTCTTCTCTCCCCTGGATTACGGCCACAGCCTCCCAACCTTCCCCCTGCTTCCACTTCCCCTCCCCTGGACAGGGTGATCCTTTCATAACGAGTCAGATGATGTCACTTGTCTGTCCAAAGCCCTCCAACGCCTCCCATTTCATTCTAAATGAAGGCCCATGGTTTTTCAAAGGCTGCACGCATTCTACTCCATGCAGTCTGGCCTCAACTCCTGCACTTCCCGTCCCGTCTCCTCTGCCCCAGCCACTCTGCCCTCCTTGTGGTTCCTCAAGTGTCCCAGGCACTCTCCCACCACAGGACCTTTGCACTGCCACTCCAACCTCTGCTTGGAATGTTCTGTGGACATCTGCCTGGCTAGCCCCAACTTCCTTCAAACATCGCCACAGTTGGCCTATTTTTAGCCAGCTTGTAATCTGTGCAAGTTGTAATCTGTGTCTTCCCTTCTCCCTGAGTCCTAATCCCCTTCCTTTTCCACTTCTTTTTCTCCATGTGTAATATTATATAAAGCCGGCTCATGTATTATGTTTCTGGTTCCCAGTCACCTTCCTCCACGCAGGCAGCGACTTTGTCTGTTTCGTTCCCTGAGATCCCCAGCATCTGCTAGAGCACCTGCATATAGTAGATGCTTGACAGTTTTTAAAAACTGCGTGAATTGAACATGGAAACACCCTTCTCCAGATCTTGAGGCCTGAAGTCCACCATTTCCATGGGGTGTAGGGATGGGGGTGGGGGGGCATGGCCAGAGTCAGGAAAGCTGGATTCCAGCACCACTTCCTTCTCCTTTTCCTTGGGCCAGGCCCTCCTCTGCTGCGACCCTCAGTTTTAATTCTCCAATCTTGGGAATTTCAGGACGCTCAGCTAAGTTCTCCAAAGTGGCAGGGGGTGGGAAGGGGGGTGGGAGGGGGTGGGCTTCCCCAGACATCTTTGCAGACTCTGTCTGGCCTGCCCTGGGGGAGTCAGTCCCACAAAGCTGCAGGAACAGGTGGGTGAGGGGGCCCAGGGCAGAGAGGCCAGGCTCCCAGGGCTTCCCACATCCCCTTGGCAGGGAGGCCTGAGTCCTTTCCGTCATCTCAGGGAGGCTCTGAGGGCCCCAGGCTATAAGTGCACCCAGAGCCCCTGCCTGTCTGCCACCCCGGCACCCCTTATCCAGCATTAACATCTTTTCGGCCACTTGTGGTGGCTTGGAGTCACCTGTGAGGAGGCCCAGCCGTGAGGCTCTGTGTCTGCACGCATGCTCTAGCTCAGGGGGCCACTCAAGCTTAACCTGCCACCGAGGCCTGACCCTGGCCAGGTCCACTGGCCATCGAGTCCCTCCCTTGGGCCTCTGGGGCTGCTGTAGGGACCGAGCACAGGCCTAAGGTAGAACTCTAGGAAGGACAGCCTCTGCAGGTGGGCAGAGCCTGACGCCAAGCCCAGAAGCCATGGGCGTCTTCTGGAAAACTCTTCCCAGCTTGCACACCCTGACCCACGTTCTAGTGTGGGAGAAGCACCACTGCCAGATGGTGAGCCCTCACTTGGGCCCTTAGCCATGTTCCCGCTGCCCTCAGGGAGCACAGATCCAAGGCTGCTCCACACCCCGAGCCTCAATTCTCCCCCCGTCACCCTCTGGTTACTCTCCACTTGACTGTACTCAGGAGCCCTGCAAGACCCTGAACTCAACTTGCATGCACCCAACAAGGTTCCGGGGCCTGGGGAGCTGTGGGGAGGGGCTGCATTCCATCTGCCCACCGGGTGCCCAGAGGACATGCCGACCTCCTACCCCAGGCCCTTCTGGACACATCAGAGACTGGCATGGCCTGCCAGCTACCAGATGACCCAGGGCAGCTGGCCAGAACCCCCCACCCAGCCCATGTTCACGGCTTTCCTCCTTTTCACAGGTGACTCCACCCGACTCATCCTCCCCATTGTGGTACCTTCTACCTGAGCCAGGACGATCTCCCACCTGCCCAGCACCCCTTCGCCAACCCCATGCCCTCTGGCCTTTGGTTCACTCCATCTCCTATACAGATGGCCCCGTCTCGTGTGTAGACATGTAGGCTCTTAACTGGCCATGTGTGTAGTGGTCCTGACGGACACTTCACAAGGTGCTGTGGTGAGGGCTGTAATACAGGCTCGTCAGCGCCCTGCTTCTGGCTGTCCTGAGTGGGTGAGAACTCACTCCTGCCCTGGCTCACAGCCCTGCCAGGACTGTATGCACTGACCCCCATGGTGAGTCCAGTTTCTCCCAGGAGCAGGGCCTAGATTTCCCTGTGTCCCCAGCCGGTGGTTCTGATTGCCTCCCCTCCGTGACCGCAGACTCGGATCTCCTGCCCCTCCGCCTGCCTTGCAGCACAGCCAAGAGCCTCCACTTCAGCCTGCCGAACTCCCACCACCCTGTCCTTCTGTCCTTCCATCCCTCAGCCTCAGCTCCTTCTCGCACTGGCTAAGGGCGCCCCCTCTCCTCTCTTCCCTTCAGGGGTCACACTTACGTCCACGATGAGGAAATCAAGCCAGCACCAGGCGTTGGTGAAGTACTTCTTGAAGCCGTAGGCCACCCACTTGAGCAGCATCTCCAGCACGAAGACGTAGGTGAACATCTTGTCGGCATACTCCAGCAGGACCTTGATGGTCTTCCGCTCCTCCAGGTAGATATCCTCAAAGGCCTGCAGACCAGGGTGGACAAGGCAGGCATGGTGTCCTGACCCAGGTGGTCCCAGCCCGCATGAGCCTTCATCCCTGACAGCATCCCTCCGCCAGGAGGGCAGTGCAGAAGAGGCTGCATAGTGGAGGGGCTTCCTCAGCATGCTCTTTGAGCCCCGTGTGCACCATTGCTGGGTCAGGAAATGATGTTACATGGTGTGTGGACAAGGAAGAATGTGTAGTGAGAATGCTTCCACCTTCACTTTGAAGAGCAAGTCTCAGTTCAGAGCTAGCGCATCCATCGTTAAGATCTCTCTAAAACAGCTCACAGCCTATTGTTGGAAACTGCATACATCTATCTCCCCGCTACCCCCCTCCACTGTGTTTTTTACTCTCTTTACTTTTGGCGCTTACCTACTTTTCATAGGAAACAATATTGGTTTCCAATGACAACAATCATTCAAAGTTGCCCTTTACAATAAATTTATTTAAACAAAAAACCAGTGACTGTTTATCTAATGCAAAATTTCACAGAAGTGATAGTGAAGGCAGTCTATAGATACGAAGATTAGGAAACACAGGACTAGACGAAGTCAAACCTTCTGCAACTCCTCAGAATCTGGGAGTCAGTATGTCTAACAAGCTAGCTGTTGTCTTTCCCCACCTCCTCACTCCTGCCTCAACCCACATCCCTGGGCCGAGGGAGACTCGATGGTTTCTGCTGCCCTCTTCCAGCTCCAGCCTTCCAATATGTATCTGCCCCTCCCCCAGGAGGTGCTCTGCGGCTCCCAGTCTAGGCAACTGACCGCGTCACTGCGGGCCCTGGGGAGTGCCTCCACCTTTCACTCTGGGCCTCCCCGTGTCACTGCAGGGCCTCTGAGAGCTACAGCGGTCCAGGGACCCAGTGCTGTCGGCAGCACCCGAGGACGCCCTGCCCAGGGAACACGCAGTTAACCTGGTCTGTGGAGATGGGACAAAAGGTTGGGATCAGGTCCCCAGATGGAGCTTGGGGATTCTTCAAGATAAAAAGTAGGCTTTTTTTTTCTGATTATAAAAATATATGTCTTTTGTAAAAAAATGAAATAATACAGAAATTATAAAAAAGAGAATAAACAACAATAACAACCCCCCCTCCCCAAACAACCCACTCGAAAAATGGGCAGAAGACATAAATAGACATTTCTCCAAAGAAGACATACTTCTGGCTAACAAATACATGAAAAGATGCTCAACATCACTCATTATTCAGTTCAGTTCAGTTCAGTTCAGTCGCTCAGTCGTGTCCGACTCTTTGCGACCCCATGGATCGCAGCGCTCCAGGCCTCCCTGTCCATCACCAACTCCCGGAGTCTACTCAAACTCATGTCCATGAAGTCAGTGATGCCATCCAGCCATCTCATCCTCTGTGTTCCCTTCTCCTCCTTCCCCCAATCCCTCCCAGCATCAGGGTCTTTTCCAATGAGTCAACTCTTTGCAAGAGGTGGCCAAAGTATTGGAGTTTCAGCTTTAGCATCAGTCCTTCCAATGAACACCCAGGACTGATCTCCTTTAGGATGGACTGGTTAGAACGCAAATTAAAACTATAATGAAGTACCACCTCACACCAATCAGAATGGCCATCATTAAAAAGTGTACCAATAACAAATGCTGGAGAGAGTATGGAGAAAAGGAAACCCTCCTACACCCTTGGTGGGACCATAAGTTGGTGCAGCCACTGCAGAGAACAATGTAGAGGTTCCTCAGAAAACTAAAAATAGATCTGTCATAGGATCCAGCAATCCCACTCCTGGGCAAATAGCCAGACAAAACTCTAATTAAAAAAGATAAATGTACCCTCTATGTGTATAGCAGTACTATTTACAACAGCCCAGACACAGAAACAACCTAAATGTCCAACAGAGGAGCAGATAAAGAAGATGTGGTGCATGTTTACAGTGGGATAGTACTCAGAAAAAGGAATGAAACTGGGTCATCTGTAGAGATGTGGATGGACCCTGAGTCTGTCACACAGAATGAAGTAAATCAGAAAAACAAATGTCATATATTAATGATACATTATGTATGGAATATAGAAAGATGGTGAAGGGCAGTACTATTTTCAGGCCAGTAACAGAGATGCAGATGTAGAGAATGGACATGTGGAGAGGTGGTGGTGGGGATAAGGGAAGGGTGGAATGAATTGGAGACATATATACATATATAGCGTTGACATATATACACTACCATGTGTAAAAGAGATAGCCAAAGCAATCTTAAGAAAGAAAAACAGCTGGTGCAATCAAGCTCCCTGACTTCAGGCTACATTACAAAGCTACACTAATCAAAACAGTATGGTACTAACACAAAAATAGGGATATAGATCAATAGAACAAGATAGCCCAGAAATAAACTCACACATCTATGGTCAATTAATCTATGACAAAAGAGGCAATACTATACAATGGAGAAAAGACAGTGTCTTCCGTAAGTGATGCTGGGAAAACCAGACAGCTACAAGTCAAAGAATGAAATTTAGAACATTCTCTAACACCATGCACAAAAATAAACTAAACATGTATTAAAGACCTAAATGTAAGATCAGATACATTAAAACTCTTAGAGGAAAACAGGCTGAACTCTTTTTGACATAAATCATGGCAATATATTTTTGGATCCACCTTTTAGAGTAATGAAAATAAAACAAAAATAAACAAATGGGACCTAATTATACACAAAAGGATTTGCACAGCAAAGGAAACCACAAAAAAAGGAGAAAGGCAACCCACAGGATGGCAGAAAATATTTGTAAACAAAGTGACCAACAAGGGATTCATCTCCAAAATATACAAACAGCTCATGCAGCTCAATACCCAATAAAAAGCCAAACACCCCAAAGGAAAATGGGCAGAAGACTGAAATAGACACTTCCAAAAAAAGCACACAGATGGCCAAAATGCACATGAAAGGATGCTCCACATCACTAATTATTAGAGTAACACAAACAGAAACCACAGTGAGGGATCACCTCACACTGGTCAGAAGCGCCATTACCAAAAAATCTACAAACAATAAATGCTGGAGAGGGTGTAGAGGAAAGGGAACCCTCCTACGCTGTTGGTGGGAATATAAATTGGTACAACAACTATGTATTCAGTATTGAGGTTACTTAAAAAGCAAAAGCAGAACTACCACATAATCCAGCAATTCCACTCTTGGGCATATAGCTGAAGAAAACTATAATTTGAAAAGATGCAAGCACCCCCAACGTTCACTGCAGCACTATTTACAACAGCCAAGACATGGAAATAACCTAAATGTTAAGTGACAGAGGAATACATATATACAATGGAATATTACTCAGCCATAAAAAAGAATAAAATTCCATTTGCATTATGGGTGGACCATGGAGATTGTCACAGTAGGTTAAGGCAGAGAAAGACAAATATCATATGATATCACTTAAATGTGGAATCTAAAAAAAAATGATACAAATCAATTATTTACAAAACAGATTCAGACACAAAAAACGAACTTATGCTGCCAAAGGGAAAGGCAGGGGGAGCGATAAATTAGGAGTTTGGGATTGACATGTACACACTATTCCATAAAAGCAGATAATCAGCAAGAGCCAGCTGTAGAGCAGAGGGGACTCTACGCAATACTCTGTAATAAGCTACATGAGAAGAGAATCTGAAAAAGATACGGATATATGTACATTTAGAGCTGAATCACTTTGCTGTACATCTGAAACTAACACAACATTGTAAATGAACTATATTCCAATATAAAATAAAAATTTAAAAAAGACCACAAAAAGTTAAAAACAAAAATAATGAGGTACACATGCGAAAGAAAGTAAAAGAAAAAAGAAAGCCCTTGCCTAATCCAAAGGCTAGAAAAAAAAAAGACCTTTCTTTTCTTTCTATTTCTTTCCTTCTTGTTTCATTGTTTTATATCAGAAATTTAAAAATCTAATATATTTTGGTAAGGAGTAAATATCTATTTTAGTATTTTTTTTACAGAGTGACTTGTCAAGTGTCCTAACACTTTATTAAAGAACCCACTCTAAACCCACAGAGTAGAAGTCAACACTAGAATCTACTACACTTCTATATTTGCTTACAACTTCTGTGTGGTTCTACTGCTCTCCTGGTCTATTCCTGAATTAGTGTCACACGAATTTTCCTGGTCACTTTTCATAATTTTCAAGATACATTTAAACAATGTTTTGTCAAATTCCCTTTAAAACATTAGAAATTTATTACTGCATTGAGTTCATCAACTGTTTTAGGAACTAATACAGTCTTTCCGCTCAAGGCTGGAGTATATTTGTAGTATGTTTATCTGTTTATCTTCCCTTACACTCCAAAGCAAAGTTTAATAGTTTTCTTCATGTATCTATTATACATTTCATGTTATATTTATTCTCAGTTATTTTATGGTTACAATGCCTGGCATCTGAGGACTATTGGAGAAATGTTACTTGTGACTAAATGTTTCTATTACAATAGCAACAATTATTCATACATTTGTTTTATAACTAGCCATATAATGTTTTTAATGAGTTTAAAATTTTTCTCTAAGCAATCATTATCTACAAGTAATGATATACTTGTATTATTTTAAATTCATTTTATACTTGATCATATTAACTTCAATTCTTCTATTTTCCTATTTTTATGCTGTATGTTTAGTTTTCTTGATTAACTGCACTGGCTAGTACTTCAAAGTTATTATTAAATAATGAAAAACAGCTAAAAGGTAGTTAAATCATCTTTTTCTTATTCTTGACTTTAATATAATGTTTCTAGTGCTTTACTACTAATGACGATGTAGAAGTTAACTTGAAATTAAGTTTTTCATTAAGTAAATCTATTTTATTTCTATTCTTACCAAAGTTTTAAAAATCAAACATTCACTGAGATAATTATATGGCTTTTCATCTTTGTCTGATTCATATAAATAGATTTCCTAACAGGGCGTCCTTCTGACTTTTTAGGATATACCTTGCTGTGACTCATTTAATCTTTTAAATATTTTACTGAATCCTATTAGCATGTATTTTAATATTTTTGCATCACTACTCACAAGTATAGAGTATGAAAACTAGTGTGTTGTTTTACTTTTGGTATACTTAAGGTTTTAAAAAATCAGCACTGTTAGCTTTCATAAAAATAATTGATAGATTTTCCATCTTTTTTCATACTCCAGAAGATTTTTAAATAGAATTTAAATTATTTTCTTCCTTGAAAATATGAAAGAATCCACTCTTGGAGATGTCAGAGATTAGATTAGCTAGTGGTTTACTGATCACTTTAATTTTTCAAGGAATCAGCTTTGGAATTATATCAATTTTACTATTTATTTTCTAATTCATTAATCTGTGTTTTTACTTTATTAATTATATCCTTTGCTTTCTTTACAATTATTTTGTTGTTATATTTCTAATTTCTTGAGTTAATAAATTTATTCTTTCTATTTAACAAAGAAAATGTTTACGTCTATGAATTTTAGTTATTACAGCTTTGGCTACATCCCACATAAAGTATTAGCAATACTGTTTCTTTCCAGTTTCTTCCCCTGCCCCAAGTCAAAGCTTTTTCTCTACCTCTATTTTTCTTTTCTTATTTTTCTAAGGAGGACAAAACTGGCTGAATCGTAATCTTTGATTTATGACACATTGCCATATTTGGTTCATGAATAGTTTCTTTACTTATTTACTTTTTATTAATAATATAATGAACACCCATGAACCCTCCATGAAACTATTTTGTTTAATCCAAAGTTTAAGAATACATTTTATGTTTCTACAGGTTTATTGTTAATCTTTCTATTTTTGCTACATCTAGCAGTTTTCTTATCTGTAATATAGTACCTACCTCACAGGGCTATTATGCGAACTAAATGTATTAATGCTTGTAAAATGTTACAGTAACAGAGCCTAGCACATAGTCAGTACTATTTAAGTGTTAGCTATTATTATTATTCAGTTCAGCTCAGTTCAGTCACTCAGTTGTGTCCAACTCTTTGTGACCCCATGGACTGCAGCATGCTGGGGCTCCCTGTCCATATTAGGTTAGATCAAATTTATTAACTGTATCTTTTAAGATATCTCATTGTCTTGTTCTATTAATACTTGATTGGCCAAGTACTAAACAAATGAGGTAAAATCTTACTGTATTATTGTACTGTTGCTACTTTTTTTTTCTGATTTTACTTTATAAAGTGCCCAAATAAATATATTCATAACAGTTGTGTTTTTATTATAGATTGGACCTTCTTTTTTTAGCTCAAGATTTTTACCTTGAATTCAACCTTGTTTAACATAAACAAAAGCACTCCGATTTTTGTTGTCACTGTTTATTTTCCTGCTATATCTTATTATTTCACTTTTAATATTTCTGAGTCACAGAGTTTCAGGGTTGTCCTTTGAGAACACACAGCTGTATTTTTTTTTTTTTTCTGATCCACTTAGAATCCTTTCCTTTTAAAATGATGAATTTTATCCAATTACATTTATTAGTAAAACACACGTCTGATCTTGCCTTTGCCATATTATTTTGTTTCCTGATTTAATGCTTCCTGGTTCCTTCTTTTCTCCCTATCTTTTGCTATAAAATCTGTGTTCTCAAAAGAAATTTTTTTCCCTTCAGCAATTTCAAAGTGATACATAGTCTGCTTTCTGTTAAACAAGTTTATAACTTTAAATAACACCTCTCTGACTTATTTTTCTCAATATATCATTGATGTGGGTTTCTGTTTTTTTTTTTTTTTAAAACAGTACTTGGCTGTCTACCCTGATGAGATTCACCATTTGCTTGCCAAAACACCTCCTCACTTATGCCAGGCTGAGCTTTTCCTCCACAGCCCAGACTAAATGGCTCTGGCTGCCCTTGTTTGTGGCTGTTTAAAAACAAAACTCGTTAACATATTGTCAAATCCTCCTCTGAAGCCTACAGAGATTTGGCTCTAGCCGATGGTAAAACAGCATGCAGCCTGCAAGCGGCGGCTCCAGGCCCACTCTGGAACAGGGGCAGGATAGTACAGAGCGGGTGGGAGGCCCAGAGGTTTAGAAGTGACAGCTGCAGGGTCTCCCCATGGCCTGGCCCCATAGGAGGCAGATTGTGGACTGTGTTAGTCGCTGGGTTGTGTCTGACTCTTTGCGACCCCACGGACTGTAGCCCGCCAGGCTTCTCTGTCCATGGAATTCTCCAGGCAAGAATACTGGAGTGGATTGCCATTCCCTTCTCCAGAGGAACTTCCCAGCCCAGGGATCGAACATGGGTCTCCTACCTCGAAGGCAGATTCTTTACCATTTGAGCTACAGGGAAGTCTCAGAGGCAGCATGAGCTGGAGGCAAACAGCCTGGGATCAGAGTAGCCCTCTCCTTCTCCCTATCTTAAGTCCAAAGCATTCCTTGTTAGTTGCTCATTCATGGGGCCCTCATCTCCCCAACAATATTGGGTTCTTGCTCCTTCTGGGCTAGTGAGGTTTATGTTTCTATTGCCTTCTTGATCACCCCTCTCCCTGTTCACAAGTACCCTTCACAACCCTCTGCAGGGCTGTTTCATCTCCTTCTAGAAGGGCTCCGAGACATGAGTAGAGTGCTTGGGAACCAGCTGGGGCATCTCCAGACGGCCTCGCTGCTCCTCCTGGCCTCACCAAACCTCCCTGTTTCCCACAGTCCGGCTCCATCTGCTTCCTTTAAGGAGTCTTCCTGATTTTTCTAGTTCCCCCTGACCTTTCATCAGTCTGAGTCATCTACTCCATTCTTGTTCTCCTCTCTCTGGAGCTGATCTCTGACTATCTCAAACTTGCTGAATCTGGTTTCCCCAACTAGACTAGGAGTCCCTGAGGCCAGAGCCAGGGTCTCTTCCTTCTATTGCTCCTCCATGCATCACAGGACCAGTAGATACAAAGAGAGCTTGTAAAGATCTGTTGAACAAATGGAAAGTCAAGACAAAGGACTTGGAATCTGACTCCCTGGGCTGAAATGCCACATCTGCTGCTTGTGAGTGGTGGGGCTCTGGGAAAGTTACTTAATGTTTCTACAAAGGGTTGCTATGGGGATTAAATGTGATAATGTGTGAACTACATAGCTTGGCCTCTAGCCCTAGAAGACATGGAGTGAATGGAGCTACCAGTGTGCTATCAGCCTGCATTGTTAACTGCATTGAACCAGTCTGATGGAGTGTCTGATGCTGTGTGCAGGTGGGTATGTCACCGGGGCTTAGATGTAGGTAGCTGGTGACCCGAGACCTATGCCAGCTGAGCACTGGGATCTAGGAAAATCACCTCCCTTTGTGGAACAAGGAGGCCTGGACAGATGACCTCCGCCATGATCCCTTTCTGCTCTGACCTCCGTATGTGCTGTGGGTGTTGACAGTTTGTGAGTTGGTCCTCATCTGGGGCCCTGTGGTTGGGGGGGGTTCATTTTCAGCAGAGGACTCTGCCCCAGTTTCTAACCTGGCTTTCCAGCTGGAGATCTCCTTTCTCTGCCTACCCCTTCTCCTTCATGCCTCCCTGCCCACCCTGTATCCCCAGGAGGGTACCAGCGCGCCACTGCTGAGCAGGATCATGAAGATGATGAACGTCTCGAACCAGCTGTGCTCCACGATGCGGTAGCAGGTCTTGCGCAGCCTCCACCAGACCTTCCCGGGGGCCTGTGTGGTGTCCACGGTACAGCAGGGACAGCGTCGGACACAGCCTGTGGGGGAGGCGGAGGGCTCAGACCCAGCCCAGCACCCGTGAATGCCCACATCTGATAGCAAGAAGCTGGACACTCGAACCAATGACTGAAAGAGGTTAGCGTGATGGATAATGGGCTGGGCCATGGGGTGGGCGGGGCCATGGTGCAGGGTGATGACTGTGGGAACCGCCCTCAGGAGGCTACACGCAGCAGGTACTCCGTGCAGAGGGTGGATGGACTAGGCTACCAGTAAGTAGATGAAGGGCCTGGCAGGTCTGGGCCGGGGCAAGGCTGGGGTTGGGTTGGGCTCCAGCTTGTCCCGCACTCACCCGGGCAACTCACCCCCTGGGGGAATGCTCCAGAATGCCCTGGGGTGCTCGGTCCCTGGACTTTCTCCATGTTTGCAGTTTCTGAGCCTTGGGAAGGGCAGACGCCTCACTGACAGTTCCAAAGGGTGTGCCACATGGACGGCAAACCCTCATTTTATCCCCAGCTGCCCTCCGAATATAGCATGGATTCGTAAAAGCTCCAGATGCTGTCACCAACATGACCGCGTGTCACACCTACCTTGACTGTTTACAGAGGGCCCAGCACGTGCCAAGCGCTGCGCCACAGCCCATGGGGATGGGGGAATTAGACCAGCCCCTGCCGTGATGGGGCCCCCAGTCATACTATCACTCCACAAATGCAGCCGACCCACAGTGGTCCAACCAAACACACCTGAAGGCACACCTGCCGTAACTCACGTCACGGGCATGGGGGGAGGCCCCCAGGGTCTTGAGGAATGGGGAAAGGATAACAGGCACGCGGGTCAGAGTGGGATGTGACACAGGAGCTGTGGGTCCTCCTGCCCCTCTGCGCAGGGCTGAGTCTGGGCCGCAGTGCCAGCTGGGCCGTACCTTCAGTGAAGCAGTCCTCCGGGTCTTTGACATCCTCTCCGAGGTCAGGGATCTGCTCCAGGAGGTCAGCGGTGTTGGTCATATCTGCTGTGCTCCCCTCAGAGTAACTGTCTTCAGGCAGCTGCAGGCAGGATGGTGAGGTGGGTGGGTGAGCGCATGAGTGTGGGCTCTGTAGCAGCCTCCAGCCTGGGGCTCCCAGAGTGGGGGTGCCTAGGCCATCCCCCACGGCGCACCTGGGGAATCTAGGCCAAGGGGCATGGGAGCCCACCACGAAGGTCACCGAGACTGGACCTTAGGGCCCCTGGGTCTGTGATTCTGGGCTGCTGGTGTCTAGGGCAGGGGTGCAGGGGTGGGACAAGGGTTCTGGGAAAACCCCAGGAATGGGGAAGGCATCCAGGTGGAAGTAAAACAGGCATGAGGTGCAACAGGGACACACAGTGGGATGTGGACACACAGTGGCAGCCCAGCACACGCGGAGGAAACAGGCAGGCCACACCCAGAACAGCTTCAGCGCCAGGGTCAGAGACACACACAGGCACGGGTCAGACATGCAGCGAACAGGCCAGTGACCTCAGCCCACACTGCTCACTCAGTTCATATGGGCGCGGGTGTGAAGCATATAGCCTAGCGCAAGAAGGTGCTGGAACCGTCCCTGCCTGGTCGTGCAGGTTTCTGCTGCCCTGATCCTGCATAATCTGATTATGACAGGTATGTGCAGGGCCCTTATGAGCGTCTCTGCGTGTCATGTGTGGGCACCAGGGTATAGGTGTGCTGTAGTTCTGCCCAGTTTCCCTCTTTGGGCCAGGGCACCTGTCTCCAGCTGCTGCGAATACTGTTTCTCTGACCCCATCTCCAGAAAAGTGTCTTTAGCCAGGGACCTGCCATCCTTGGAAATAGTTTGGGGGTTACAACCCAAGTCCAGGGTGGCTGACACCCAGTGACTGACTGATATGGGAGAGACCCAGCGGAGGCTGGAATCCAGCCAGCATAACGTCTGGAGCCGCTGCTTTTGCCTTATCCTGCTTTTCTCACTTCCTTATGGGTCTCTCCTGAGGGCACCCTCTCAATGAATCATTTGCACAGGAAGCCAGGCTCTGGCTCTGCCTCTGCCTCTGGGAATCCACCTTAATGACAAGTATGGCAGGGAAGAGGGTTCTGGGGAGGAGGGCGGCCTTCATTTGCATCCGATCACATCTACCACACCAAGTTCAGTCCACCTCACGCTGCTCAGGCTCCACTCCACTTTGGGGAGAGCTGGTTTGAGCCTTGACTCTCAAACCTGCCTTCTTTTCTCTTCCTTCCACAACTCAATCCACTGCTGTCTCAGAGTCCTCTTTAACCTTGAGGCTGGCCGTAGGAGTGAATGGATCCCGGTGAAAATGTAGAGTGCTCCTGGGTGCAGGGCAGTTTCTGTGGCTTTGAGGGTCACGTCCTTACTCCAGGCTCATTGTGCAGTGCTGAACTGGGAAAGGCACAGTCAAGGGTCTCTGTGCGCCTTTTCTTTTCAGACACTAGGGCTTTCCCATGGGACGACAAGTTCTCAGGATTCCCCGGGCAAGTGAGAAGAGGGGTTCTTCTCCTAGGAAAGCCCCAGCCCACCTGGCTGTCTCCTCATTTCCAATGTGACTTGATCTGAAAAGGTGATGAAGGTACCAGACTTGCTCAAAGGTCAGCATTCCAGTACGGGAGCCCCTTCTGTCCGTGACCTTCTGTCCCTCCTGTGTCTTCCTGTTCCCCGCTCCTTGGTGTGTGAGACCGTCCAGGAGGACAAGTGTGACCTGCACAGTCAGGGCGATGGTTCCACCGGGCCCTTGTACTCTCAAACTGGCCGTGAAAACAAAGCTTCCCATGGGCCCACCCCATGAAAGGAACAAGACAACGGAGAAATGTCGCCTTGGAGCAAGTCACAGCTGCTAGACAGCGGCTGCGGTCAGGCTGCAGGACAAGGGCCTTGGGCATGGTCTCTGAGCACATGACCGCCACCTTCCTGGGCGCTCGGCGGAGCAGGGGTGGGGTGTAGCCAGTAGTGCCACAGTCTGGTTAGCTCAGGGCCTGCAAGCCCAAATGCTTACGGGGCCAGGGAAGCTCCTCTTCCAATTTTTTTTTCAAGACAAGCCAGAATGCAGACTTTTTACATAAAAGCCTCTGGGTTTTACTTATTTATTTATTTTTTTAACTCATCTGTATTTGTTACAACTTTTTAAAGCAGAATGTGACTTGAGCACTACATTTCCATTCACAAAACTTGCTCCAAGTTACTTTTCCAGCGGCTTTACAACATGCCTGAGCAGGCTTATAAGTTTGCTACTCTAAACAATATTTTTCTTTGGAAAACAAGCCCTATGTATGGACAGCGATTCCAATCAAGTTGGTTCAGCTTAACACACTAACTTCTAGAGGCCGGGCACATACAGTCATAACTACAGGGGATGGAAGTTTTTTTTAAAACTTCCAGCCTCTGGGTTTTAAATGTTGGTCGTTGTTGTTTTGTTATTTAGTAGCTCAGTTGTGTCTGACTCTTCGCAACCCCATGGACTGCAGCACACCAGGCTTCCCTGTCCTTCACCATCTCCTGGAGCTTGCTCAAACTCATATCCATTGAGTGATGTCATCCAGCCATCTCATCCTCTGTCATCCCCTTCTCCTGCCTTCAATCTTTCCCAGCATCAGGGTCTTTTCCAATGAGTCGGCTCTTCGTTTCAGGTGGCCGAAGTACTGGTAATGAGCTCAAATTAAAACTCTTTTGTGTCCAGAACAAATTCCTCTGACAGGCCTTGTATTCGCCGCCTCAGCTTCTGTCCAGGTGAGACGCGGCTAGTGGCTCGTGTGTTGAGAGCCTGCGCTCAGAGCTCCCCCGGTCCCCCAGGATGGGCTGACTCATAGGACAGATGTTTGCCAACAGGACCAGAGCACAGGAGCCCAGTGAGGAAGGGGTGAACACGCAGGGCTTGGGGTTAGTCCTGTGGCATGCTCCTGGGGGGCTGCTTCCTGAATTCCCACGTGGCTCTGGGCCCCAAGCCATCCCTCCCCTGTCAGGATGGGGCCACTCCGCAGACGGGTCTCCCACACTGGCTGTGGCGGCGGCTGTGGCCTCTGCCGGCAGCAGCAGGTTGGTGTCCTGGCCTCTCACGGCTTCCGGGACAAAGGTGTGCGTTACCTCACTGCGCCCTGGGGCCGGGGCCTCTGCTCGCCGCTGCTGCCGCAAGTCTGCCTGAGCCTCACTGGCCTCGGCCCCAGAGGAGGTGGTCTCCGACACCTGGCTCCAGACCCTCGGCTCCGGGAGGGCCTCTGGGCTGCCGGGCGCAGGCTGGGCTTCCTGCTGAAGAGACCCCCAGCCCGTGAGCCACCCAGCCAGTGTTTCCAGGATCCTGGTCTGCCTCACGACTCTTCGTGAGGCGTCAGCTCACTGAAGACCCTCCCTCAGGCATTCTAAGGCTAGCGGAAGCTCCTGAGAGGACCAGGCAAAGGGCCTAAGGCTAAACAAAGCCCCTGGCCTGGCTGGCACAAATCTCCCCCTCCTCTCCCTTCCTGAAGGGTGTCAGTGGGCCGTGATGTCCCCCTCCCAGGCGCTGGCAGCTCCACTTAGGAAGGACAGGCTTTCCCCAGGAGCTCCCATGGCACCTCAGCTTGCTTGCTTGCTTATAAACACACACACACACACATACACACACGCAGGTCTCAGGGCCAACAGGCTCAAGAGAAGGAAAGGAGGAGGACAAAGAGGGGCAGCCGTAATTGCACTCCTATGCTGGAAGCGTCCTGGAGCTAATTCTAAGCCGTGGTTCTGGCAACACCAACCCTTCTCCTCCCCCAACTGACACGGTGGCTGTCCTGCCGCCTGCCTGAAAGGGCAGGAGCTGTCCTCTGGGACCACAGGAAGGCAGGAGTTTGTGGAATCAAGCCTGGAGCCGCAGATCAAATTCCGTGCAGGGGAGCAGCTGCTCTTCTCAGCCAGACCCACCCAGTGCAGGCCCCAAGGAGGTGGCCAGCGTGGGCCCAACGAAACCGAGAGACCCAGTCCTCACTGTCAAGGACCTTGGGAGACGCCACCTGAGCTGGGCTCAGGCCGTGAGAACACTGAGGGAGCCGGGGTGGGGGTGGGGTGCACTGTCCCTTTTGTTCAGACTCCTGTCCTAAGTGTTAAAAATAACAGGTTGGGAGATAAGATAGGGCTGTCTCTGACACCTGCCATCTTAGGGATGCTTATTTTTAAACCTCAGAATGAGCCCTGGGCCTGGGGGGAGGGGAGGGGGCCGTGGTGAGGTCAGGAGGCCGCACTCCCCCACTCACCAAGATATTCCGCCTTGTTAGTCTTGGAGGGGATAAGGTCAGGGTTGGGTCTGGGAGCCAGGGTTCCTGGCTCTGTCCTAGACGTGTGAGGAACTCCTAGCACGTCTGTCTCTCTTGTCATGCCTCGGTTTCCCTCTCTGAACAATTGGCTGCCCGTGAGCAGCCAGGGGCTGAATGATAGGCAGCAGTCCCTCTGAAGATGCCCTCCTGGGCGGGGCTGGGGAGACAGCCTTGAGGACTGGTCTCAGCATGCCTCCAAGAGGCTGGTTCTGGGGCGATGGCCTGAGTTCTCCCTCCAGGCCATCCCTACTGGGGCAACTGCTCCTAGTGAAGCTGGGTCCCCCAGACAGGAGGTGGCGCTCACACACACGAGGGGCAGGGTTTGGGGGCTCACCTGCTTGCTGCGCTCTTCCTCTGTGCTCAGGCTGTTCTCATCCTCCTCGGGGTCCTCTGTGTCTGACTCGGCCACGGCGATGGGCACACACACGGGCTCGGCATCCCCGGATGCGCCCTGACCTGGCCGCTGGCCTTCCTCAAACCGCGTCTCCTTGCGGGCTGGGGGCGCCTTCTCGGCCTCTGGTGGGGGCGGGGGGCTGGAGGTGGCGATGCAGCCTGGCAGCTGGCCCTGGGAGGCGAGGGCCGCGGGCTTCTGAGGCGGCCGCTGCAAGAGCCCACAGCAGAAGTCCCAGGTGGTCCGCTTGATGAAGCGCAGGGCCCGCTGGATGCGGGCCAGGGCCAGCTGGAGGTTGTTCATCTCCCCATCGTCGTCGGGGGCTGTGAGGTTGTCCGCGCTGAAGGAGCTGAGCAGTAGAGCCAGGAAGAGGTTCAGGACCTGTGGAGACAACGTCAAGCCCTGGGCGCTCAGGATGGAGAACCTTGAGGAGGGCCAGAAGCAAAGAGTGCCAGGCTCAGACCCGGGGGCCGCATTCTAAGCACCCAGTCGCTTCAATACAGAGAGTATGGCTCTAAAAGGAAAGACGAGCTCTCATCCTGAGGTGGGAGATGCACGGGCCCTGGACTGAGCAGCTGCGGCTGGTCTCCTGCTGATGCTGTGAGCTGGGACACCAGCAGGAGCACTGGGTCCTGACTGGGTGTGTTCTCATGGGTGTCCCGGCCCAACACACGTGCAGAGAAGGCCTGCGATCTAAGGGAAGGACAAAAGGAGTGAGAATAGGCCAGCTAGAATCCATCTTGGCTGAGAGACGCGTGTCCACACTAGGAACAGATATGGAGATGACTGGCTAGAAAAAAATACAACAATGGAAAACTGCCCGCTTTAAGCAACCTAAGCTGCTCCCTCCTAACTCGCCTGTCTGCTCTGCTCTTCCACACTCACTTTGCTTCTAATAAACGCTTTTATGTTTTTCACAGTCTTGGTCTCTTTGCTGAATCCTTTCTCCAAAGAAGAACCGAGGTCCTTCTTCCAGCTTTTCACCACCAGAATCAACCCCTCCTCCCAAGGGTTCAGATACAGTCTGAATTGAGGGCATTCAGACCCAGGTTTCTTGGGTGTTGGTGCACATTCAATGGGAGAACCGTGGGTTCCTCTGATGTCAAAGCCTTCAGATACTGCCATGCTGTCTTGGGAATAATGGGGGGCCATGTAGTCATGGTGAGGGCTTCCCTGGTGGCTTGGCAGTAAAGAACCCGCCTGCGGTGCAGGAGAGAGGGGTTCTATCTATGGGTTGGGGTGATCCCCTGGAGGAGGGCATGGCAACCCACTCCAGTACTCTTGCCTGGAAAGTCCCATGGACAGAGGAGCCTGGAGGGGCTACAGTCCACGGGGTTGCAAAGAGTCAGACACGACCGAAGCAGCTTAGCATGTACACATGCAGTCATGGTGAGCACAGGACGGCTCCCTGGGAAGCGGGATCCAAGCTGGGATTACCAGGGAAAAGATAGACTCCCAACCCAGAAGCAACCCAGGGCATCCATTCATCTGCCCACCCATCCATCGCTCATCTGCTCTTGGGGCCCTCCTGGGAAGGGGCCTGTTCATCTGTTGGTGAAGGAGGGACAGTGATGTGCCTCTGAGCTCCCCACTGAAGCTAGTTCCCCACTCAAACATCTGGGGGCTCCTGCTGTGGAGCACACTCCACTGGTGTCCCCCGATCTTACTATGCTCCCCAGGGGAAGGACATGGGATACTGAGCATAGAAGAGGGCGACGGCAGGAGAAGAGGCCAGGTGGCAGCTCCTGGGACTAACTGCAGGGCCAAGCCACTGAGAGGGGGTTGTCGTGTCCAGGTGGTGAAGGGTGCTTGGGTAGGTGCTGTGTAACACTAGACAACTGGGATGGAGTGGAGAGACCTGGGGCTGGTGCCAGGGGCCAGCCTTGGCTCCAGTGCCCATATGCTGCAGGGAGTCAGGGGAGGGGCTGAGGCCTCAGAAGTGCCAAAAGACATAGACTTACTATTATGGATCTGAGACCCCTAAGGAGGGGTTGCAAAATCCTTCTGTCTTTGGATGGTTCTCAACTACTGCTTGTTGCTAAACCATCCTGCAAGTCTGAAGCTTTAGTTTTGGTTAAAAAAGCAAACTTCTGTTGAGTGACAAGCGACTGGGCTTGGGTCTTGGGGAGGGTAACTGAAGATGGCAGCGGGCTTGTTCCACACAGGGGGCAGATGGGCTCCCGGGCACCACCAGGCCAGTGGGCTAGAGAAGCAACCCCCCGCACCTTGGGCTTGTTCTCCCCCCCCAGTCACTCCCAGAAGGGAGCCCAGTCAGATGGGGACCTCTACGGCAGGGTGGTGTGTGAAGGTGGACACCCAATCTGAATCCCTCCTGCCCTGGCTTCTCACAAGCCCCTGAGACACGCCTGTCAGCAAGCTGGGAAGGAGAATTCTGGCGAAGGCAGTGGGCAAGACTGGCGTGCCAGGCCTCAGAAAGCTGCCTTTGGTTTCTAAAGTAACACTCATTCATGTGGACAGTATGAAAAGGTTAAGAAGTGGTCTCTCCTGTCCTATATCCACGGAGAGATGATCGCTTGTGACACCTGGCAGCCTTTTTTTTTTTTTTAAATGTCGTCACTGGGGCGGTGAAGCATGTGATGGGATTCAGAGCTGCTGTCTACACTGACCCCTGGCTAGGCCCCTGGCCTCTGTCCACACTGGCCCAGACCTGACCTGCCTCTGTTCCTGGTAGCCCACCCTGGATACACCCACCACAGCCCTCGCTCACGCCTGGCTTAACACCTGATCACCAGGCGTCTGGGGCCAGACTGGGAGTGGGGCAGGGGGTGCCTGGGCAGCCTCCTCCACCCACAGAGTATGCCAGGGCCTTCCTTGCCGCCGGCTTCGGAAGTTCACCAGCTTCCGGTGCTTTCCCCGTCAATCACACGCTGCTGCTCCCTGGCCCCTGCCTGATCATCACTTCCCATTTCAATGGCAATCTTGCTTCCACCCACGCCCGGCAGCGGCCCAATTCCTGAGGCGGCCAGGGAGGGGGCCGCGTGGGCTGCGTTTGCTTCCCTCCTCCAGCAGCCTCTAATCTTCTCATCCCCAGGCAGATCCGCTTGGAAATCGCAGGCTGTGTGTGCGTGAGGGCAGCTCAGCCTGGCCCTGGGCTGATAGCTCTGTGCACTCACATCCTCCTTGGAACACACAAGAGTCTGGCACCCTGGGGCTGGGCCGGGAGCTGAGTGAGGGGCACCCCGAGTGGCGGCGCGGGTTTGAAGGAATGGGAGGGGGTTGCGGGGCCAGCCAAAGAAAGAGATGGATTCCATGGGTACTGAGCACCCTGCTTCTCTCTGGGCTCCACCCACTGAGCCCGAGGGAGATGGACCTCAACTCAGCCTGAGCCCACCCCGGTCTGCTTAAGGCACATGGGAGGAGAAAGCAGGCAAGCCTGAGAAGGGCTTTGGAATCTGCAGCCCATGGTACTCACATCACCCAAAACCTCTTTGTGAGTTGCTGCGGAGCCTGCGCTGCCTACACCATGGGCAGTGGGAGCCAGACCCTGCAGCTGTGACGGTGGACCGTGTGTGGTCCCGCTGTACACCCAGGAAGAAGGCTGCATGTCCGCAGTGGACACTGACTTCTCCCTGAACCACTCACCCCTCTCAACCTTGCTTCTTCCAAAGGCTCCATCTCTGGCATTTAGATTTTGATCTCTCTCAACTCTAAAAATTTCCCACGTTGTAAAGACACAAGGCAAGATGCACTCACCCTGGGACAGACAGGTGACCAAGAGGGCAAAGACCTGGCTCCTTATGACAAGACAGCAGGGCTTCTCACCACAGCTACCCAGGGTGACATACAAGGCTCCCTCAGGCCCCACCTCACCTGGACTACCACCTGCCTGCACCTATGCTTTGCTTAACCTGCTTCTTCCCTCTCTAGCAGCACTTGTCTTTCAGGTCAGCAGGTCTCCTCTACCAGAAAGGCCTCCTTGATTTCCCTAGCTGAAAGGAATCAGTACCCATGGTCTCCCCTTTAATGGCTCTGATCATTCTGACCAGCTTCATTCAGGCCTGTTTGAACTCTCCACCTGCTCACTCTCTGAAGGTGACGAGCAAAGTCAGGGCCACATTCACCTCTGCATACCCAACAGCATCTGGCACAATATTTTGCATGCACCAGGGGCTCAGCAAATGTTTGTTAAGCTGAATTGAATCAGGTGATAAATCAGATAGTGAATAGCTAATAAAGTAATGAGTAGCTGAGCAAATAATTAATTAATGGATATAAACTGAATACATAAAGAATAAATAGGTAAATAGATGGGTAAATGAATGAATGAGCAAATAAAGAGTGATGTGGATGAATGGATAGCCTAATGAGTGATAACTGGTTGGATAAATGAGTAGATGGATGGGATTGACGAATGAATAGATAAGCAGATTGATAGATGGATGTAGAGATGGATGAATGGGCGGAGGGATAGATGAGTGACTGGAAAGATGGGTGATGGATGAATGAATGGATGGATGTGTGGGTGAGTGAATGGGTGTGTAGAGAGATGGACAAATGGATGGATGAACAGGTGCACATGTGTGTGAATGAATGGGGATTGATAGATGGATAGTTGATGGATAGGTGAATGGGTGGGTAAGTGAATGAGTAGATGGGGTTGATGGGTGGATGGCTGGGTGAGGGGGTGGATAAATGGATAGGCAGATTGGTAACTTAATAGATTGATAAGAGAGGTAGACAGATGGACAGGTGGGTTATTGATGAGTAGACAGATAGCTGGATAGTTAGAGTAAATGGATGAGCAGAGAGATGAAAAGAATGAATGGGTAATAGATGGATACATGAATGGATGGGTAAATGGGTGAATGAATGAATATTGCTGTTGTTGTTTAGTTGCTAAGTCATGTCTGACTCTTTTGTGACCACATGGACTATAGCCCACCAGGCTCTCTGTCCATGGGATTTCCCAGGCAAGAACACTGGAGTGGGTTGCCATTTCCTTCTCCAGGGGATCTTCCTAACCCAGGGATCGATTGCGTGTCTCCTGCATTGGCAGGCAGCTTCTTTATCACTGAGCCACCAAGGAAGCCCATGAATGCATGAAGAGGTGGAAGGATGGGTAAATGAGTAGATGGATGGATAACATTGATGGGTGGATGGGTGATTTGATAGAAAACTGACAGAGGGAGTGGATGGATGGAAGGAAGGGTAAGTGAATGGACAGATGGATGATTGGGTGGATGGGTAGCTAGACAGATGAATGGATGGGTAGGTGAGTGAGTATGAGAGAGGTCTCTGGCCAACTTACCACAAGGTTACCAATGACCATAACAAGCAGGAAGACCAGCAGGCATAGTGACTGCCCGGACACCTCCATGCAGTCCCACATGGTCTCGATCCACTCTCCACAGAGGATGCGGAAGATGATGAGGAAGGCGTGGAAGAAGTCCATCATGTGCCAGCGGGGCAGAAGGCCTGAGTCACTGATGCGGTGCCTCAGCTCTGAATAGTTCTTGCCGAAGAGCTGCATGCCCACCACAGCGAAGATGAACACGATGATGGCCAGCACCAGCGTCAGGTTGCCCAGCGCACCCACCGAGTTCCCAATGATCTTGATGAGTGTGTTCAGCGTGGGCCAGGATTTGGCCAGCTTGAAGACCCGAAGCTAGGGAGGGAGGGGTCCTTGTGAGGGCCTCTGGCTCCCACTGCCCATGGACACCCTCATGCCCCTAGCTCCTGCCTGAAAACCCAGGGCTCCCTTGGAGGTCACCAACACCTGTTTCTCCCCTCTCTCCAAGAGCACACACTACTGTTTCTCTCCAGAGCCTGAGGGCAGTTTCACTGGGCTCTGATCTGGGAGTCAGGGCAACAGCTCCAGACTCCTCCCCAACCACCCCTTCTATTTGTCCCCACACCAGCCTTCTGCTCACCTTGGTCTCACTTCTATGAACCACCCAGTAGATTTCCCCATCATGGAATGTCCCTCTTCCAGAACTTTCCTCATCAGGGGTCCTTCCAAGCAAGCTCAAACCATCCCTGACTTGCCCAGTCAACTCCATATATCCCTCCCCTCAGTTATCATACAGAAAGGTAGCCAGTGCTGAGCATTTATTGAACACCTGCTGTGCCAGGCCTAATGCTTGGGTCAGCTAATTAGGAACTCTAAATAACTACATGAAGATGGTGCTATTATTATCTTATTTGACAGATGAAGAAGTCAACCTTAGAGATGGAGTAACTTGTCTAAATCCCTTGGATCTTGGCAGTGGAGTTGGGGTTAGAATCCACAGCCTGGGCTTCCTCCTTTGCCCCAACCATTCTGCTTTCCTAGGCCAAGTTGAAGCCACCTCCTCCAGGAAGCCTTCCCTGACCTACTTCCAGCCCCATGCCTGGACCTCTTAGACAGTGTGAACTGAAAACATGGTCCAGAGACTCATGACTTTGACATTATCTGAGACCTGCTGAATCAACATTGGAACTTTAGCAAGATCACCAGGCAATTCGTGTGCACAGTAAAGTTTCAAAAATGCAGATTTTAAAACCAGCAGGTAGAGACCCAGGTGAGCTGTCAGGAGACTTGGTTCCACCTGTTACCTGCCATGCGGCTTTGGAAAACCGTCTTGCCTTTCAGTGTTAGTCTCCTCATGGGTAGAATGGGAATGCAGTAACACTAGCTCCTCTCCTGGGATACTGTGAGGACTAAAAGGAGCATGGTGAACCATAAAGGGCTTTGCAACTCATCAGGATGGATACCACCCCAAATGGCCCTCTGGAGGGAGGGATATCTCCCTCACCCACCTCTGTGTCTCCCACATTGCCCATACGAGCCTACACTGTACCTAGAGAACAGCCTCTGGGTGAAGGTATGAAGGATCAGAGCAGGGGTGACTGAGTGATGGCCTCAGAGAGGGCACGCCTCAGTGGCCCCAGGGCCCCACCCGCCCACCCCTGCCAGGCCCAGGCGGGTACCAGGCGGAAGGAGCGAAGCACCGATAGGTTGCCCATGCGGGACAGGCCCAGCTCCATGAGGCTGAGGATGACAATGATGCTGTCGAAGATGTTCCAGCCCTGCTGGAAGTAGTAGTAGGGGTCCAAGGCGATGATCTTGAAGGTCATCTCTGCTGTGAAGATCCCTGTGAAGACCTGGGAAGGAGTGGGAAGGAGGAGTTCCCAACATTTAGGCTGGCAAGAACCTCTGGCAGCAGGGTCTCCCTACCTCCTAACTCTTGTTCCAGGAGGGTCCCCCTCCAGGGCTGCCAGCTCTGACTGTGCCCAGAATCCCAGTGGGTGCTTGCTTGGGCCTGGCCCACTTCCTTGAGGACAGCTCCAACCCGATGCCTCCAGCCAACTCTGCTGTTTCCCAGACATGACCCACCAGCCTGGGCCTCAAAAACAGCCAAGCCCACTGCAGGCTTGAAAGACTGACAGTTCTGGGAGGCACCTGGGATCAGGGGAGGCTGGGATGGACCTCGACACCACCCAGCTCCAGACTTGTTCAAGCCCATGTTGCCACAGGAAATTTTCCCTGCTTCACACACACCAAATTCACACATTTCCACAAACACTCATGCTTCCATGGCTCAGCACCTTCACCCATGCTGTTCCCACTTCCTCCCTGTCCATGTGATGGCTTTTCTCAAACAACAATCAGCCACCATTTCTTGGGCTTGACTATGTGGCTAGAGCTGGGCTAGAATGCTTAGACCAAGTTGTTTCTTTTAACCTGCCTAACAACCTGGCAAGAAAAGTAGCATTAAACCCATTTTACAGGTAAGGTAATTGAGGCACTGAGAGGTTAGGTAATGTGCTTGGAGTCAAGTAGCTCATAAATTTGAGAACCAGGAGAAGAACATTATGGCAATGTTTTTAATAGGGACAAAAGAATGTCCATCACAAGGAAATGGTTAAACTACTTATGGCTCATCTGTACAGTAGAATATCCCACAACTATTTTTCTTACAGAAGAAAAAAAACGATGCTGTAGATGATGTTTAATTGGCATGAAAGGACATTCACAAGGTGTTATGTTTCAAAAGTAAGTTTATAATGTGTACAGAATGATCCTATTATAGACATAAGCCAAGGTTAGAGAGTTTTGTTGTTGTTCAGTCACTCAGTTGTGTCCGACTCTTTGTGACCCCATTGACTGCAGCATGCCAAGCTTCCCTGTCCTTCACCATCTCCCAGAGTTTGCTCAAACTCATGTCCATTGAATCAGTGATGCCATCCCACCATCTCATTCTCTGTCATCTGCTTCTCTTCCTGCCTTCAATCTTTCCCAGCATCAGGGTCTTTTCCAATGAGTCAGCTCTTCACATCAGGTGGCCAAAGTATTGGAGCTTCTGCTTCAGCATCAGTCCCTCTAATGAATATTCAGGGTTGGTTTCCTTTAGGGTTGACTGATTTGATCTCCTTGCTGTCCAAGGGACTCTCAAGAGTCTTCTCCAGCACCACAGTTTGAAGGCATCAATTCTTCAGCACACAGTCTTTTTTATTGTCCAGCTCTCACATCCTTACATGACTATTGGAAAAACCATAGCTTTGACTAGACAGACCTCTGTAGGCAAAATCTTCCCACTTTCTGGGAAGCCACTATTAGCACTGAGGGCTCTGTGAACCATCTGCTGGGAGTCAGGGGAGGTGGGTGCCCACACTCACAGCCTGTCTGTCAGATCCCAGTGAGCTTATAAAACATGAAGAGCTGTTTGTATCTCAAGTCCCTGCTGGGGCCTGGAGATCTCAGCAGTCATAATAAATGAGGCCAAAGAGAACAATAACCACCCTCTCATAGGTAGCATCCAGTTGACAACCTTGAACTCTAACTCTTATAAACAGCGTATGGAGTTATTATTCTCCCCATTTTACATATGAGGACACTCAAGGCTCAGAGATGCAGAAACTGGCCCAAGATTCCCCCATGGCAGACCCTGCTTTGGAACCCAGGCCTGGCTGCTGTTCTCTGCACATCGTAAACTACCCAGCTTCGCTCCCATACTCTTACAATACCAGTGATGATCCTTGGTCCAATTCATTTCTTATTATAAATTTCTGGAAACGGAATTGCACAGTCAACAAGCATTTTTAGAGATTCTGACACATAGGTGCTAAATGATCCTCAGAGATAGGTTTTAACCAATTTCATGAACCATGTGGGAAAACTGTTTTCCTTATAAAGATGCTAATTCCTGTCTCACTCACGTCTCCAGTTCAACAGGACAAATGCCATTTTTTTATTGTTGTTTTGTTGGACATTTCTTCAGTTTTTTAAATTTCTCCTTTTGTAAAAGTTGCCTCTTTGTATCCTTTACTTATTTTACTGTTAGGGTGTTTGCCTTTTTTGGGTGTTCATAAATAAATGTACTTTATGCCTTGCAATAAATGCATTGTATACATTGTGATTTTCTTATAATATTGGTGCAAATATAGAAAAACAGACTAGAGCTACAGAATTAAGAACTCAGAAATAGGAAATGCATATTTGGAGACTTGATAAATAACAGAGATGACATTTTAAATCAGTAAGAAAAGGACAGACTATTCAGTAAACAATGCTGAGAAGAATGGTTACCTCTATGGAAGAAAATAAGTTTAGATTCCTACCCCGCACTATATTAATTAATTAGTTGCAGGGAAATGGATTCAGTACCTAAATACAATAAAAATTTAAACTTTCTAGAATAAAAATGGGGGATATATTTAAAATTTGGAGGTTGGGAAGGCTTTCTCTAACAACACAGAAAGTTTGTACCATGAAAGAAAAGACTGCTAAATTTACATATATTAAAATTTATATCTGTATAGTAAATGATACAGTAAACAAAGTGAAATCACTACCACAAACTGGAAGTTGAAGTTATGAAAAGTATTTAACTGGAAAGACATGGAATCCAGAATATATATTGAATGCTTACACATCAGTAAGGAGAAGAGGGACAATTCAGTGGCAAAAACACAACCACAAGAATGGATGGAGGAAATGACAGAAGAGGAAATTCAGGTGGTTATAAACAAATGAAACACAGAAGAATGCAAATTAAATCAACATTGAGTTACTATTTCTCACCCATAAGAGAATCAAAAATAAACTTCTGTGTGTTGGCAACGATATGAAACAGTGGGAACTCACAGTCTGTAAGAGCATGGATTTGGTACAACCGTTTTAGGGAACAGTTGTACAGTATCTGGTAAGTCACAGCTATGCATACCCTAAGCTGTAACAATGTCAGATATGTATATTCTTAAGAAAGTCTCACATGTCTGTATAAGGAGGCATGTCCAAGGAAGCTCTCTTTGCTGCATCGTTAGTCACAGGAAGGGCTTCCCTGGGGGCTCAGATGGTAAAGCTAAGGAGCCTGGTAGGCTACAGTCCATGGGGTCACACAGAGTCGGACACAACTGAGCAACTTCACTTCCCTTCTAGAGCAACAGAGCCAAATACCTAACTGAGTCTTGCAGGTACCTCTGTGGGCTTCCCTGGGGGCTCAGATGGTAAAGCGTCTGCCTGCAATGCGAGAGACCCGGGTTCAATCCCTGGCTCGGGAAAATCCCCTGGAGAAGGAAATGGCAACCCACTCCACAGAACTACACTGAATCCAAGGTAATCGCTATCACGCATGTTTCTACAGTTTTGATATGTAGAATTTTTGCCTGGTTTTAAGGTTTATATAAAGGGGCCATGCCATATGTATTCTTTTTTTTGCAAGTTCCTTTTATTCTTCACATCATGTTTGTGAGATTTATCCATATTGAAAGACATATATGTATTCCTTCTAATTGTGCATGGTGTTTCACTGCATGAAAATACCACAATATATTTTATACATGGGAGGTAAGCTCGGGCTTCCCTGGTAGCTCAGCGATAAAGAATCTGCCTGCAATGTGGGAGACGTGGGTTTGATACCTGGGTTGGGAAGATCCCCTGGAGGAGGACACGGCAACCCACTCCAGTATTCTTGCATGGAAAATCCCCATGGACAGAGGAGCCTAGAAGGCTACAGTACATAGGGTCACAAGAGTCGGACACGACTGAAGCAACTTAGCATGCACGCATGCAGGGTAAGCTCCTCACCTAATTCCTAAATTTATCTTGACAGACTTTACTTTTCCATATGAATTATAGGATTGCCTTGTCAAATCCCATGGGTAAAAGTATGTTAGGAGTTTTATCAGAATTATACCAAGCATCTAGGTGTAATTTGGTAAGAACTTGTATTTCTACAATATTCAGACTTTCATCCATGAAAATCACATATTGCTGCACTAAATGAACTGTTTTTCAATGGTTTTATAATTTTTCATATCAAGTTTATAATCTTCTGCTATGTTTATTCCTATATCCCTCAGTTTTTATTGCTATTGTGTTAACTCATAAAGTCCTCTCTCCAAATGATCACCCATGGTGGCTTGGAGCATAATTAATTTTAATATATTGAGCTGCGATTCATGGGGTCGCAAAGAGTCGGACACGACTGAGCGGCTGAACTGAACTGAACTGAACTGAGCCTGTACCTACCAGCATTGCTGAACTCTCTTACTAGTTCTAATATTCCTTCTGTAGATTTTCTTGGATTGTTTCTCTAGACAACAACATAATCTAGGAAATAACACTGGATCTGTTTTCTTCCATTCTTTCTTCTTTTTCTTCTCTTACGGCACTGATAAGGACTCCAGTATAATTTGGACTGGAAGCAGGGAGACGGGAACAAAGCCAGAGCCGCGGCACAGCCGTGCAAGCTACTAGGGAAAAGCATGGGCTCTAAAAACGAAAGGCTTGGGTTTTAACCTTGGGGCTTTCACTTCCCGGCTGTGTGACCACTCTGTGCCTCTGTTACCTTATCAGTAAAATGTTGTTTTTGTTTAGTCATTGAGTCGTGTCCAATTCTTTTGCGACCCCATGGACTGTATCCTGCCAGGCCGCCTCGTTCATGGGATTTCCCAGGCAAGAATACTGGAGTGGGTAGCCATTTTCTTCTCCAGGGGATCTTTCTGACTCAGGGATTGAACCCGCGTCTCCTGCGTTGGCAGGTGGGTTCTTTACCACTGAGCCACTTGGGAAGCCCCATCAGTAAAATACGGGTAATAATAATAGCATTTCCCTTACTGGTTGTTATAAAGAATTAGGTGTTCAACAAGTGTTAACTATGCTTACTAGAATCTCTTTGTGTGTTAATTTTTTAAACAGGTTCCAGGAACAGTCAGGTATAAATTCGAACTCCCAAATCTGTATAAAGCCAAATTCATAGTCACAAGCATCCAAGAGTTACTTTTTTTCAGCCCCTCTCTCCAGCCCTGCCTGAGACTGACAACCTTCCTTCTTTATCATTTCCCAGGGCCAGCATGTCAATTTTTTATAGTTCACCATTGTATTGAATGTAGGGTCATATTCCTATGGGGCTACTCGGTTCCAAACCCTACTTGCACTGTCCCAAACACAAGTCTTGCCTCTGCATGATTACTGAAATCCAAGCCCCCAAAATTACTCGATCAGCACCTGTCCCACCCCCTAAAGCAACTATATAACGATCTCACATGTTTACTGCTACAGTTTTTAAGTCCCTCTTTGTTTTTGGCACTTGGGGATTTTTGTTTCTTTCTCATGAACTTTGCTATGCGTGTCAAAGAATATTTGCTATATTTTAAATTGTTTTGTAGTTGGAGACATCTCAGGTTTTCTTGCTAAAAACAGATGTTTCATTTGCCTTTTACCTTTGTTTATATCATGGGCTAGTTAAATCTACCAATCTTCTCCTTTATGGAATTTGTCTTTAGTGACATGCTTAGAAAGGCTTTTTTCACACCAAGATTATTTACCCATGCTTTTATTTGTGGTTTTATTTTCTTTACATTGAATATTTAAACCATCTAGAATATATTAACTGCAAGACAATTAAAACCTTACATACTAATAATAAAGCTATTCAAACAGAAAAGAATAGCTGTAATCCAAAGACACGACCTATTACTAATAAACTAACCACAAGTTTAACACAATCGCAATTCAATCACAACTTAGTGGTCCAGGGAAGCCACTGGTGCTCTTCATCACCTTGACTTATGGCTCAGTCCAACCCAATGGTCACATTCCATTAAAACTGCATTCAGCTGAAACCCTACATAACCACCACTTGGAGACCACCCAATACAAGGCAGGCACAATTGTGCAGAGACTCCTACAGACTGAGAGCTAGCTTTTCCTTCTGTTTATATACAGAAGAAGGAAAGAAAAGTAGAACCATAGCAAAACAGACTCACATTTGTGAAACAATGTGAATAGACCCTGTAGAGAATTACCTAGAGCTCTGGATATGGAAAGTAATGAGGGAAAACGATCTTCACACTCCACAGTGTAGGAGACCTGCCTGCCCGTGGGGGCCACTGTGGAGCTGGGACTGAGACAGACTGGGCTGGGCCTGCAAGAGGAGAGAGCTTGGATTGGATGAGCGCTCTGCCCACTCAACCTCAGCAATGACCCCAGGAGTTCCTTCCAGAAGCCAGCGGGCTCTCTGCAGCCCTGCCCTGGGATCTGCTGCAGAAGGGCCAACCCTGCATTTACCTAGACAGAGCCAACAGGACCCTGCCCTCTAAGATCAGGAGACAGTAGCCACACGCCCAGCCCTGCCACCACTATGTCACCTCTCTGGCCTCAGTTTTCCATGTTTAGAGTGAAGAGCTAGGACTTGATTTGGTGTCAAGAAAAAAAAATTAAAATTAGAACTGACACATTCTGACTTCCAGGGAGAGTCTCTTCAATAACAACAAAGATAATAACCACAGCCATCATTTATTCTGAGTGCTTATTGTTTATCAAACTCTGAGCCAAGCACATTACACACATTATCTTATTCAATCCTCATTAGCTTCCTGAGTTTGATATTGTCATACTAATTTTACATTTATTAAATTCAACAAATACTTACTGCACCAATTACCAAGACTAAGTAATTTGCTTGAGGTCATATAGTAAGACTGAGTCAGAATTCAAATCTGTCTCTGCCTGATTTAGTCACTCACTCCATTCACCCAGCCAGCCAGCCATCCATCTCTATCCTTCCCTTCCTCCTTTCTCTCCATCCTACCATCCATCCATCCTTTCCCTAAGAGAATTGCCTCTTTTTGGCACATTCTCCTCCTCCATTACTGCCACACCCCATGTCCCCACACATTTCAGGTTCCCCTCAACTCACTTTTGTTTTCTAGCCTTTGGGCATCTTTATCCCTAACCTCTCACTCCCAACTGCATCGCCCAGCTCCTCGAAAACTGATCCTGAGGCTCCTACCAGAATGTCTTCCATAGAGATGCCTATCTTCAGAAGACCCTTTTGTGCTCGGAGTCCCTCCTCCCTCACCCACAAAGGCTGTGTGAGCTGGCCAAGAGCCCTTCACGCCACGATGCCCATTTGAGAGTAAGCTGCCAGCGGTACTTACCAGGTTTCCGACCTGCAGCATCTCCTCAAATTCGGTCGTCATGTTGTAGTGCTCCAGGGCCATGAAGAGCGTGTTAAGCACGATGCACATGGTGATGGCGAGGTCAGCAAATGGGTCCATGACCATGAACTTCACTTTCTGCTTAATGGACATCCACAGCGGGCAGCACTCCCAGATCAGGTAGTGCTGGGCGAAACGGATCCAGCACGGTGGACACTTGCGCTGAGACTCCTCCAACTCTGGGGGCAGGGGGCGGGGAGAGCCAGTGAGCTGGCTTGTTTCTGTTGACTGCGTCACATAACTTTCCAGCAAAGCGGTATGACGTACCCAGCGGATGACAGGGCTGCTGCACGCCAGGAGGACAGAGAGCGGGCCAGGGAAGGCTACGGGGAAGCGGGCCCGCGTCCTGACTTCTTCCTCTTGGGATGTGGGAAAAGGGGGCCACAGGGACAGAAAGCCAGGATGGGTATGGGGAAAATGGGGACAAGACAGATTAGGACAGGTGTGGGCTCTCTGGAGACAACACTGCCACACAGATGTGGGGCCCCTCGGGGGAGGACAGGCAGAGACAACATCTGAGATGGGCAAGTGCAGATATAAGGACACGCAGGACCCAAGAGGTAGGAATAGATGTGGATATCTGGGACGTGTCAGGAGAGATGTGGGGTGTGGGTGGTGCCTGGGACAGGGGGGAACAAATCAGGGGGCTCAGGATGAAAGAGATGTGGGGCTGCCTAAAGTGGGACTAGCTGAGACAGACGTGGGATGCTTGGACTAGCCTGGGGAATGATGGGGAATAGGCTAGAACAGGCCTGCTTGGGGTGGGGATGGCCCCAGAAGACCTGGGGATACGTGGCAGAGGACAGGATGAGACCAGTGATCACCTGGGATGGGCCAGGGCGGCTGCAAGGACGTTTGGAAGAAACACGGGCATGGCTCCTGATGATGCCCAGGACAAAACAAGCTGGCACAGATGAACAGACACCCAGGACAGGCGACAGAGACTGAAAAGTCTGGGACAGCTGTGGGGATGTTCAAGGCAGGCTCAGCAGCTGGGGCGAGCCAGGCTCAGGTCCGGATAATGGCTCAGACCAGAAGCAGGGTGGGGAGGGGTGTTTGGATGACGAAGGGGTGCTGACCTTCCAGGGCACTGGTGAGGACGCTCACTGCGCTGAGGGCTCGCTGCCGCTCTCCTGGCTCCTCAAAGCCGTCGACACATGGAGCCTGGGGCGTCAGCGTCTGGGGCCTGCCTGGCTCCTCCGATGGCGTAGTCTGGGTGTAACCAGGAGATCTGCATCAGCCTGGGGATGGATGGGGGTCCACCTGGACCTGGGGCAGTTGCCCCAGACTCAGGCTGGGGAGGTCCCAGGGGGCCACCACAGGGGTCTTGATGTGACACTGGGCACTGGGCTTCTCTGCTCCCAGCTCCCTCCCAATTAACACTTTCCCTTTGGCCAATCATTATCTCCTTCGTTTTCTTTCTTCCTGCACTATCTCTCATTAGTGGTGACTCCTGGGTGGGAGACTACATGTACTGAGTTCTTTAACCAGATGCTGTCATATACATTAGTACATATGAAAACGATCTGGGAGTCTTAATTGATCCTAAGCTCCCTAGAGTCAAGAGCATAGAGAAGCTGAAAAAAAATATGTACCATGCTCTAAGGTGACATTAATGGAAGCATAAAGTACAATGCTTTGACATAGCTGGTCGGAGCTTTTGTGGAGATAACTTAGCTATATCTACTAAGAAAATTTTCAATTGGCTCTGAGTTCCTTGCCTAATAATCGAACTTCATAAATAATTATACACGTGCAACCAAAAATATGCATGCAACGCCGCTCACTGCAGCATTGTTCCTAATACCATAAAAACAAAACAACTGATCAATAGGAAGAATATTAAAATCAGCTAGGGATACAATCCAACTCTGGACTCTGACACAGACAATAAGGAGAGCAAGACTGTTTTGCATGCGTGTCCCCACAGGAGCACTTCCAGGACAGTTTGATGAGAAAACAGGAAAAAGATCTGGAAGATAACACACTAAATTGTTAAAGTGGCTATATCCGGGGAATGGGATTGTGTGGGGAGGGCAGGGACTTGGACTTCTGCACTGTTAGATTTGTTTTCAACAAGCTTGCACCAATTTTGTAAGTAAAAGGACCAGGCCTGTGAATGGAGATGGTGTGTGTCCTGAGGAAAAGAGGGGCAACATCCATCCCTGGGCTTAATCAGAGCCTCCCACAGAAACAAGCAGGGCTCACAAAGCCTTCAAGTCAGCATGGCCACACATGGCCACAGTCTGTGAGCCCAAGGCCGGGCTGATGAAGACACTGGGCTGTTCAGCGTGCAAGAGTGAGGCACTATAATCTCTGTGGGTCAGAGGGAAGATGGGCCTAGGCATCGCAGGGTGGGAGGGTCAGGGCCTGGGGTGGGGTAATAAATTGATCTGGGCTCAAGTTAAGGTCAGCTTTTGTGATCCGTGGAATTGTCCTAAAGTGTTGCCTAGGGAGGCAGTAAGCTCCCAGTCATGGAAGTCTTCAAGCAGAGGTGCCTGAGAGGGTTGACGTAGCTGGTGGAGCAGTAGTAACCTGGGTCCAGTGCATCCACAAATCTGGCCAGCTTAACTCACAAACATGTCTTAAAATTTCCCAACTTCTCTCCTCTACCATCTGTGATAGTTCGGGTTTTCATTCAGCAGATTTTACTCTGTCCTCTCCCACTGTGACTGAAGCAAAATTCCCTGTCCTGTTGGTGACACATTTGCTTTTGGCCAAGGGAATGCCAGCGGACATGATGTGAACAGAAGCTTTAATTGTCCTTGTGCCATTCACCTTGCTCTTGTGTCCTAGTAATCCTCCAGGAAAAGAGCTTCCCCAAGTAGCTGTCGCCCTTTCAGCTCAGGACAAACACAAGGGGAGCATCCCTGAGCCTAACCCATAGTGTGGAGCCAGGCCATGTGCAGTCTGAGGCACAGCTGCCTGGCCAAGGTCAACCTCGACCAGGCAAACCATGACCAACCTGCAGAGAAGGGAGCGTGAATTCTCACTTGCTGTTAGCCGTTGACTTTGGGGGTAGTTTGTTACACAGCAGTATTGCGGAAATAACTTGACTAACACACTGTTCTAGGCATGCTATCATCATCCCTTTCCCAAAAATACTACAACAGCCTCCTAACTGGCCTCTTCTCTCTCCTCTATTCTCTACACAGCTGAAAAAGATACCTTTAAAAAGTAAATCAGTTCATGATAATCCTTTGAATAACAACTCTCCCCCATCTTATTCGTAGCAAATCCAAACTTCTCTACAGCTTACAAGGCCCTGCACGGTCTAGACCCTAAGTGCTCCACCTCATTTTATATTCCGTCTGTTTCCACCACACCTAGCCCTGCCCAGCCCTCTCATCCCTTAAACATGTCAAGCTTATTTTCCTTCAATGCCTTTACACTCTCTGTTTCCTCTGCCTAAAACACTATTCTTCAACATATCTGTGGCTGGCTCCCTAAAATCTTCTACTGGTCGATTTTAATATCACCTTCACGGAAAGGACTTCCCTGTGTATTCTAACCTATAGCTCCCCATTCCCAGCCCTCCCCCTAGCAACTTTCTATCATATGACCCTTATTGGTCCCTAGAAATAATGATCAGTTTACTCTCTGTCTTCCTGACTATGATGCCAACTCCACGAGGTCAGAGCTCTTGTCTGCCCTGTTCATATCCTTGGTGCCTTAAACACTGGCTGGCACTCAACACAGAGGGCTGGTCCTGGGTAGATGTTGGATGGATGGATAAACACTTGGCAGCCGGGGGCCTGGGTTAAATTCTAGCTCTGTCCTTAAGATGACTGTGGGGGTGGGGAAGGGAGGAGGGAGAAGAATCTGTTCAAGGTGCCTCTAACACCCCCTCTGCCTTTGGGGCCAGGCACATATTCAGATAGCAAGCAAAGCAAACCTTCACCCTCTGCTCCCAATGAAAGCCAGCTGTCAGTCGGGTCAGCTCTCTCCCTGTTGATGAAGCACCCACTATGTGCCCGACACTGTGCCTTTTTTTCAGACTAAAACTGGGCAGGAGTGTTACCAGGGGCCCAGCAGAAACAGGGAAGGCCTCCTCAGGGGCCTACAGCCCGCTAATCTCTTTAACTTTTCAAATAACCCCCTTGGCCTGCTAATCCCTTTAAGGTTACAAATGGGCCCCACAGAAGTGAGAATGGGTGAAGTCAGAGTCCCTGGTAATGAAGTGTTTGAACTTGGATTCCTCCCGACATGTGCAGTACAATGAGATGATTTTCTCCCTAATGAGATTAGGAAATTCTATTAGCGCTCCAGCTGCTGACCTGATTCCACAAGGCTGAGGCTCTAGGGCTGGACCCATGGCCCTGGAAATCTGTGTTTCTGGGAAGTCGGACACCCCAACCTCCAGGTCATGGCCAGGGGCTTCCCCAGACTCACCCAGAAGCTACGGTCTCCCCCAGTGTGTTCCCAGGACCCTCTCTTTGACTCCCCACTCCAGAGCAGTGTAAGGGCCCCAGGCACTTGGGAGGTGCTCCTGGAGTCTTCACTTCTTCTTGCTCTCTAATAACAATAATAGCTAATAATAATAATTCCTTGAACATGAGGCAAGTACTGGTCTAAGCACCAGACAGGTTTTAACTCTTTAAGTCCTTGCTACAACTTTTTTTTTTAATGCTCTATGATTCCATTTATATAACATACAAAAAACAGGCCAAATGAAATTCTGGTGTTAGAAGTTGGGATAATGGTTAACTTTGGGTGGGATGGTGGGAGGAAACTGGGAAGAGGGATGCTGGGGGAGCATCTGAGGTGTTGGCAAAGTTTCTATTTCTTCATCTGGATGGTACATACTCGGCTCACCAAAACCTGCTGAGGTGGATATTAACTTTATTTCTATAACAGGTGACAGGGCTTCCCTCATAGCTCAGTCGGTAAAGAATCTGCCTGCAATGCAGGAGAGCTTGGTTTGATTCCTGGGTTGGGAAGATTCCCTGGAGAAGGAAATGGCAACCCACTCCAGTATTATGGCCTGGAGAATCCCATGGCAAGAGGAGCTTGGCAGGCTACAGCCCATGGGGTCGCAAGAGTCGGACACAACTTAGCAACTAAACCATCACCACCAGTAGGTGAGGACACGGAGGCACAGAGAAATTGATTAACCCATGCAAAGTCCCACAGCGGCAGCACCTATCTGAGCGGGAGCAACACAGTCTCTCTCTTCAGCCTGCCCTCACCTTCCTGCTCAGGGTTCCCTGTGTTGTCCTGCTTCCTCAGAAAGTCTGCCCTCCTCCACCTCCTGCCGGCCTCAGGGTCTGAGCCGCACGTTTGCCCTTTTCCTGGGTGGGCTGCTCCGAGGCCTTTGCTGGGGGGCAGCGGTCAGCAAGGGCACTCAATGACTGCTTGGGCGGTCACCAGCCTGTCATGGGATCAGCTGACTGATCAAAGCTCTGACTAGCCTCTCACTATCTGGCACCTCCCTCCCCGTCACCTTTCTGACAGTTGCTCCAACACCTCTTCCCTTTACGCTCTGGTTTCCAGCACACTGCCCTCATATGTCCTCCAATACACTAGGCATGCTTCTGCCTCAGGGCCTTGGCACTTGCTGTTCTTTAGGCCTAGAACATGCTTCCCCCAGATAATGCAAAGACAGTATGTTACTATGTCGTTATCACCACATCAACATATGTGTGCATGTCCTGATTACTTTATGCATATTAGCCCTTCATCCTGATGTCAATCCTGAGGTGGGTATTTTATTTATTTTTGGCCAAACCGTGCAGCATGAGGACCTTTGTCCCCCAGCATGAATCAAACTCATTCCCCCTGCAATGGAAGCCTGGAGTCTTAACCACTGGGCAACCAGGGAAGGCCCTGAGGTGGCTGTTTTAAATCCATTTTACAGACAAGAGATCTGAGGCACAGAGATATAAAATACTTGCTCACAGCCATGCAGCTGGTAAGAAATGAGGCGAGATTCAAACCCAGTTTGTCTCCAGAATCTGAGTGCTAACCTGTCTGCTATAACACCCCCTCCACTTGCCTCCTTCAGGTTGTTGTTTTAATACCCTGCAGTAAGGAGGTTTCCCTTTCTCTCTTTCCTACTTTTGTTCTACCATAATACTTAGCGTTTGGGCTAGCATTCCCCGACATTTACCGGTTTGTAAAGTGCCGAAATATTTCAAACTTGATGAGGTTCTTGTTGCCGAGAACCTCAGAAATGTTCCCTTGCCACTCTGGCCCTTCTGCAGACTGTCCAAGATCCACAACCCTGCAGGGCCAGTCCCCGGGGACACACAGGGCCTCCAGAGCACTGGTCCTTGGCCACTAGAGTCTCAGTGCCTTACTAGTTGCTAAATACTTAACTATCATCCCTGTTTATCACCATTATATGTGTATATTCGTTCATTTGTTGTTTAGTCACTAAGTAGTGTCCGACTCTTTCGCGACCCCCTGGGCTGTAGCCCACCAGGCTCCTCTGTCTATGAGATTGTCCAGGCAAGAATAATGGAGTGGGTTGCCATTTCCTCCTCCAAGGGATCTTCCCGACCTGGGGATCGAACCCAGGTCTCCTGCTTTGGCAGGCAGATTCTTTTTTTTTTTTTTTTTTTTTTTTTTTTTTTTTTTTTTGTTAATCAGCTGTATTTATTTAGTAGAACAGGTAAATAAATATGGTATAGTTACACAATGGAAAACTATACAGCAACTAAAGTGAACTAACTACAACCACACTTAACAATATGAATAAACCTTACATGTAAAGTTAAGCAAAATGAATCAGATTCCAAAAGAGCACCTGCAACATGATTCTATGTATCAATGAAAAGTCAAAGTGTTAGTTGCTCAGTTGTGTAGGACTCTTTGCGACTCTATGGACTGTAGGCCACCAGGCTTCTCTGTCCATGGAATTCTCCAGGAAAGAATACTGGAAGATTCCCTTCTCCAGGGGATCTTTCCCACTCGGGGATCAAAGCAGGCAGATTCTTTACCACTGAGCCATCAGGGAAGCCCTGATGCATGTGTGTGTGTGTGTATATATATATATATATATATATATATATATATATATTCCCCCCACCCCCACCTTCTTCTTCTTTCTCTGATTTGTGTCTGTCTGGGAAGTCTAGGAAGGAGAGATTTTTTTTGGTAGGCTTATTTATCCCTGAGCCCAGCACACAGTAGGTGCTCAGTAAATACTTGGCAAGTAGTTTTAGACCTGGCTGTGGCCTGGGAGATGGGATGTGCCTGGTGCTGCATGGTGGGGCGGGCTCACCGTGTCCGGGGGGCGCTCCAGCTTCATAGGGTGGAGGAGGTGACTCCCGGGGGAGGTGGCCTCGGGGTCGCCTGCCCCCAGCAAGGAGACCACTCCGTTACAGTCCACAGTGCTGTTCCTCTTGCCGTTGAGCACGTGGCCGGGAGTTGAGGTTCCAGGACTGGGCTGTCCCTGGGTGCTAGGCCGCCGCAGGGGCCAAGGCACCAGCAGCGATGTGCGGTGGCTCTCGCTGTCCCCGGCGGTGCTGTTTTCATCGTCTGCAAAATCTGTCTCGGAGCCCAGGTCCCGTCGGCGGAAGGTGAAAATGCTCCCATGGCTGGAGCGCGGCTTCATGGAGGTCCTGCTGAGGCCGTGGGTGATGCTGAAACGATTCTGAAGACACGAAGAGAGGACGTGACTGGGACAGTGTTTCACATGCTCCCGGCCTGTCACTCACGGTATCAGCCCCGGCTCAACTTGGAGCACTGAGGGCTTCTGTCTGCCACACAGGAACTGAGTGGGCTGAACTAGGGGTGCTCCGAGGAGGGGTGCAGGATTAGAGGCAATCCTGCATTTTCTGGGATCTCTGCTCACTTGAGGGCTGTGCTCCTGGGGCTCTGAGATTGACGCTTAAATGGGAAAGAAGCAGGCAGAAGGCTCCTGATGGTATAGACAGGCCTGGCCCGAGCAGGACCTCGGCAATCAGCCATGTCCCTTGCTCATCTGGGCATGTCTGTGAGCTCCTACCAACCCACACAATGGGGGTGCCCCCCAGCTCCACTGCTGGGGACTTAGCTGAGGTTGGGGATAAGCTAACACCCAAACCCACCCTATCCCTCTGCGCAGGGCTTCTCCACTCTAAGAGTGGCCATGGGAAACAGGAGGGACTGGGAGGGGGCTCAAGGAATATTTTCCTTGGGGAGCAACCGTGAGGGCTCTGACAGCACCAGGCTTAGTATGACGGCTTTTTGATGCCAGATCCATCCTGAAAGGGGCAGAGCCGCAGCTGGGGGTTACCACTGCTCGGGGACCATCCTCTGAGTCGGACTTGGGGAACTTGTCATCCCCACACTCCTCCGTCCCTGAAGACATTCGTTTTCTTCTCTTGCTCCTTCTCTCATGGGTGGTTACTGGGGCCAATGGGGACATCTCCAAGGAGCTGCGGGACACGGTGTCCACACCCCTGATGGCGAGGGCCTAAAAAATGGTGGAAGAAGGGATGTCATGGTCATGGAGACAGGGTGCAGACTCAGGCCAAGGTCAGCCAGGCAACTATCAGCACCTTGGTTTTCCCCAACAGTAAGTGGACTTGCCCACTCACCCCAAAAGGAGGGCATTATGGAGAGGTGTGCACAGACAGACCCAGAATATTTTGAGAAAGATCCAGATCCAGGGAGGAGGAAAGTAGTGGCTAAAGTGGACCGCTCATGAAAGAGTAGAGTGTTGGGTAGGTGCAACTGGGGGTGTTGATGAGCAGAAGTGACAGAACTAGAGGGCAGGGGATGGTCTAGAAGGTTTGGCTGGCCAAAATGGGTGCTGGAGGAGGTGGCATAGGGCAGTGAGAAGGAAGTGGATGTCCTTGGCCTGGCTTCTAAAAGGTTTGTTCTGCAGTTAGCTGCCAGGACCCATGTGTGGGACTGTGGGGACAGCCATGGCAGCACTACCAGTCTTTGCTTGCTGAACCTGAGCCTTTGACCTGGGGTCTCCCTATCCCAACAGAAGGTATCCCTTGACCAGGATAAACTATGTCTATGGACACAAGATTCTCTTTTACCCAGCATGCACTGGGCTCACAGTGACTACTTTTAGCCAGGAGCCACCACCTTTATCCACCTGGCACCACCATCACCCAGAAGATACCATGGTCATAGGGAAGAGCTTTCCCCCAGCAGGCACCATCCTCATAAGGCCCACCTTTACTCAGCAGGCACCACACTTACACCCACCTCAGGAACAAGATCTGTCTTCACTCAGCAGCCAACAAATTTTTTATTCAGCAGATGACAATACATTTACAGGAAATATCTATACCCACCAGACACTTGCTTTATCCAGCAGGTACCAGCTTTACCCAGCATGCATCACTTACAGCCACCAGCTGTACCCAACATGCATCATACCTCCAGACACTGGTTTTACACAGCAGGTACCAGCTTTGCCCAACATGCATCACACCCCCAGATACCAGTATGACCCAGCAGGTATCACACTTGTAGGCACCCATGGTCAGGTGAAGGCTTGTTCTGGAGGTTCCTTGGCTGCACTGCTCACTCACCTCCTGCTCTTTCTTGAGCAACTCCATGGCTTCCTGGAATCGCTTTTCCTTCTCCTCTGTCTCCGCGATGGTGGCTTGGTTTTGCTCCTCGTAGGCCATGGCGACCACAGCCAGGATCAAGTTCACCAAGTAGAAGGAGCCCAGGAAGATGACCAGCATGAAGAAGATCATGTAGATCTTCCCTGCAGACCTCAGGGTCTGGAGGAGCAAGGGGGCAGAGGTCATCTTCACTGGGGCTCCTTCTGGGTCACGCATGGTCGTAGATTCCACGCTGCCCAGCCTGGCTGTGCCAGGGGTTCAAATGGCCACAGCGTGGGGCGGCAGCAGAACATGTCCCGCCTATAGACAGAAGCATCTTAACCTACAGAAGAGAGGGACCTACATGCACGGGGGGGTGCCTCACTCACGGGAGGAGGCAGAATCCTCCAGTTGACAGGAAAGTGTTGTATCACATAGGGTGAACTAGGGTCCCACTCACAGAACAGAGTGTCTTATACAGAGGGCTGGGTCCTTGGTCACCAACAAAAGGAAAGTTTCTTTGCTTGCTGGGCCCCTGCCCCTCAGAGCCCTCTGTGCCCACTCTGCTCTGGCCAGTGGGGAGGCTGCTGGGACCGCCCGTGGCTGGTCACCTGTGCAGCCTGGGCCCTGGCTCTGGGCTCTCAGCCCCTCCCGGTGGCCTTGCGCACCCACGTACCTGCTGGTAGAGGCGCTCCCAGCAGTCTTGCGTCATCAGTCGGAAGAGGGCGAGGAAGGCCCAGGCGAAGGAGTCGAAGCTGGTGTAGCCGTGGTCAGGGTTCTCGCCTGCCTTCAGGCACCTGTAGCCCTCGGGACATGTCCTGTGGCCAGACACACCGATTCTGTTCCATGCTGTGAGGGGGCCTCTGTCCCCGAGACTCTAGCCCCACACAGCGGGGTCCTGCCATCCTGATTTTTCATGCTGTGCCTCCCACCCAGGACACTGTCTTCCCCTTTTCCCTTCATCTGTCTGCTGTGAGGCCTAAATCCAGCTCCCTCTGTCCTAACAACAAGCCATCCCAGCTGGTGTCTGCATTGCCTCTCCCCTCCCAGGGGAAGTGTCAAGGGCCTGGCTCAGGTTTCTTCCCTGCCTGCCTACCCCAGGGGAGCTGGGCATAGGGCAGACACAGTGGGGGAGCACTGAGGCTGAGTTGAATAGAAGGCCAGACCATGGGGTTGTGGGATGATTCTGCGAGGGACAGTCTGGGGGCTGGCCATGTCTGGAGGGGACAGTCTCTCTCCCAAAAGGGAGCACTGGGCTGGAGCCATGAGTGGAGTGTGAGACAGAGGATGGGGACAAGGGAAACTTGGCGAGTAGGAGGATGCAACCAAGGGGCCTCTGTGCCTTGCTAATGTGCTAAATTAAGAAAAGAAGACTTTCTCTTTGGCAACAGGAAGGGCTCCGGAACTTCATATTCAGACATGCAGGCCTGCTGCCCCGCAGAGCACCTCCCCTCGGGGAGCCTGTGTGACCCTGTGGAACAGGTACCCTGACCCAGGTGCGGTGTGCACAGGGCCCTGGAAGATGCACATGGCAACTGGGCATCTCTGGGAACTGCACCCTGCTTGCCCTGGAGGAGAGTCTAGGCTGCCAGGGGAGGCCATACTTACTCTTAACCTGATGGACAGTTCAAGACAGAGAAAGTGAAGACCGGAAGGGGAGGGTGCCACCCTGGGGGGCTTTGGGAAGGGAATGGAGCCAGGGTTGGACTGGTGGGGGGCCCTGCAGTGCTTCCTGGGTCCTCTCTTCAGCATTCTGTCTGCCCTCCCTGCAGAGGTGAGCCCCCTTCTCTTTCTTTACCTCTCCCAGCTGTATCCCTGTGGGGGTGGGGGTGGGGGCATCTTCCAGAGACCCGGCAGGGAAGAGAGCGGGGGAAAGGTCTTGCTGTCCCTGGCATCAAGGGCGTAAACAGAAAGCACTGGAAGGAGATCCCCCTGGCTGGGTGAGGCGGCCCTGGGGGGGTGGGTGGTACATACCCAGCGTCGGAGCTGTTCCCACAGAGTAACACATCAGAGGTGCCATTCTTGAGTAGGTAATTTTCTGGAAGAGAAGCATCTGATAATGAGGGGCATGTGGGGCCCAGACTCCTGGGGTTTCCAACCTACATCCTGGGTGTGGGGAGGGGTAAGAGGCACCGCTGGGTGTCTTCCGTCTGCTTCTCTGCCCCGGCCATGACCTCTGCCCTCCGCCTGGCCAGGTCTGAGAAGCTGGCCGATTCTCTGGCCTTCCGCTTGCCCCTCCTCAGACAGTCAGCTGTCAGCGTCCCCAGCGGACTCAGGAAGTCTCCACAGGGAACTTCTACACCTGCCCCAGCCACTCAGGGGGCCAACCTCGGCCATGAGGGGCCGCGGACTAGGAGGCAGGGGTCTGCTCAGACAGGGCTAGGGTTGGACCAGGTGAGACACGGGGCACCAATCGTGTCGCCTCCATCTGTGGCCATCTATCAGTCCCCCTCCCGCCCCACTACCTGCCTCAGTCTTGGGCAGCAGTTTTCCAAGACCAGTAGCATCAAGCACCAACTGGGAGCTGGTTAGAAAGGCAACTTCCCAGAGACACTGACTCAGAAACCCGGGAGGTGGGGCCCAGCAGTCTGTCTCCCGGAATCTTCCAGGTGACTCTTGCAAGCATGAAAGTTTTAGAACTGCTGCTACATGGCCACAGCTGAATCACAAGCAGATTCACTCACAGAGTTTCCATCTATTTCATTTTTCCAAAGTGGACTGCTGGTGTAGGTTAGAGGCCTTGACTTCAGAATGGCCGTCGGGGCCCTTGTCGACTAGCATGTGGCCTTGTACCAGCATCTACCATCAACCTTAGGTCCAGACTGATGGCTCTAGACAAGGAGGGTGCTGGCCATCAGCCTGGAGGATGGAAGTGTAACCCACAGGGCAGTGAAAGAACCTGAGGGGCCTGCATGGCTTTGCACCATCACAGAACTTGTCCTGGGCTGCCCGCGGATGGAACTAACACCCTGACAAGGATCACTGACGTCAAGTTACAAAGCCCAGGCCAAGCAGATGGGGTCTCCACTCCAAAGCCTCAAAAACTGTCCCAGCTCTGTCCCCCGACCCATTCCCAAGGGAAACCCCTCCCCCTGGAAACCAGCAGGTAGGCTGGTTTCTTCATCATTCCCGACCCTGCAAACATTGAAACTGCTGTTCTCCTATCTACCTCTCCATCCTCATGTCCTTCAAGGGTCATCTCCCCGTACAGCCTGAGAACTCAGGAGAACTCAGCCTGAGAACTCAGTGCTAAGACTGCTCCTCTCCTGTCCTCTCTCCCGGAGCCCCAGAGGGCACGGGCCGGTATCCCTGACACCCAGACACCCAGCCAGGTCTCTGGGGGGGATGCAGGTAGGGCTTGGATGTCCCCGGAAGGAGGCTTCTGTGGGAGATGCCTGGCCCTGGGTGGGAGATGCCCAGTCCTGGTGGGGATGTCAGAACCCTGCCAGGGGTCACAGGGCCAAGTTGGCACCTGGGTCGTTGAGGTAGAGGTCCAGCGATTCCCAGATCAGGCCGTCGGCCTCCACGGAGCCATTGGTGCTGTTGGTGCCGTTGAGCATTGTGAAGTTGCGAACGCACTTATGCCTCAGGTTGCCCATGAAGAGCTGCAGGCCGATGAGGGCGAAGACGCTGAGGCAGAAGACTGTGAGGACCATCACGTCGGCCAGCTTCTTCACAGACTGGATCAGGGCCCCCACGATGGTCTTCAGGCCTGGGGGAGGTGAGGCGGAGCACGGGGTCACCCACCGCAACACGTCCCCTGCTCCAGTGAGCAGGGGCCGGGCCTGAGGGGTGCTGGACTGGGTGGGCGATCATGAGCTGGGGGCAGGGGAGGGCGGCCTCTCTTGGGTTTTTCAGACCAAAGCTCCCCCTTTCCTCTGCTGCCGAGATTCTGTCCTGATCCCCTGCAGCGGGAGTCCAGCCTGGAGTGCCTCTGTGTATTTTCAGAGGGGCCTCATTCTCTTTGCTCTCCCACAGCCAAATACCTGATATAAGTCTGGAAAGTGCTGTTTCCTTGAGGGAGAAAACACTCAAAGCTTGTCCCTCTCTCACTGGTCCCTTTAAATGCAGCCCCTGGGAAGGAGACAGAGGGCTAGGCCCATTCCAGAGCAATAGAGAGCCTTGGCCTTGATCCTGAGATGGGAAGAGACACAGCCATTCTCAGCAGGGGAATGTGTATGCCAGGGAGGTGTGTGTGGGGGCGTGTAGGATCCGGCAAGGCCGTGGTGGGTGATGTCCCAAGGAGCCTGTTCTGCCTCAGGTGACACCTTTTGGGAAAGGCTCAGGGGCACCTATTTTGCATTTTCCTCCTCTGCCCCGCGCCCTGGGGACTTGTCCCCGTCCATCCTGCGCCCAGAGCTGAGAGGCCGTGATGTGTTAGTTGCACGGCCCAGTTCCCTGCAGAAGCCAGCTCCACACAGAACAGCACGTGTAGACACCTTTGGTGTGACACTTGGCTGCGGTCCTGTGACAAGTTCACAAGTTCGAGCAGAGCATAGGGAGCGAGGGGACTTCTCTGCCAGCAGTGGGGACTCACCCCCCCACCCCTCCTCCCAGCCCTCCTCCCAGCCCTCCTCCCTCCCGCAGAGCGGCCAGATCTCAGATTAAGCCCCATCCATCCATCGTCCAGCCGGTTAATGTGTTAGGAGCACCCGCGTGGCAGTGCCCATGACTCAGAGACAAGGGGGCAGCGCTGGGCAAACACGGGAGAGAGGAGAGGAGGTCCTCCCCATAGCGCCAGCAACGCTGCTGCCCGCCCGGGGCTCAGAGGCACTCAGCGTCCCCTCTGAAATCGTCCTGGCAGATGTTGGCAACTGCCTGGGCAGTGAGAGCACCTCGCAGGGGTCTGGCTCGGAGAGGTGGTGGGGATGGGATCCACGAGCCCTCTAGTCCAGGACTATGCTTCACCTCTGGCGGAGCTTCTGGGACCCTGTGGTAGCCATCTGGTTCTCCTCACCATGCCCACTGAAAGAGGCATGGGGAAGGGGGCAAAGTGAGGGGCAGTGGGCAGCAGCTCACATTTCCAAACTGGACTCTGCCTCCACAGCATCTTTGGCCTAAGGCACTCAGTTCAAGGCTCTGAACACTTCCTAGTCTATGGTGATAGTGTTCTTGGGAACAATCAGTTGGTGACCCATCCCTTTAACCATTTATCAGATTGATGACAGAGTCTGCTCCTGGCCAGGAGGATTCCAACCAGGGAGAGGGGTTCTCCCTGAAAAGACCCAGGAAGGGATGGGTCCTGGCGGATCAAATGGGAAAGTCTCCCTCCACGGGAAACCAACCATTTTCATTCCTTCCCATTTTAAAGGAAAGGAGACTGAGGTCTGGAGAGAGCCACGGCTATTAAGCCTCAGCGCAGGGGACACCTTCTCCAGGGAGACTTCTGTAATGCTGACCACAGCATTTTCCTGATGCTCACTTTCAGGAGCTACTGCCTGGCAGCTTTGAAGAGACCCAGTGGGGCTGGGTTGGGAATGACGGGCTCCCTCTCCTTTAACCCCAGACAGAGAAACCGTTTCTTGTCAGCCTTTTTTTAATAAAACAAACTGGCGCATGCCTTTTCTTAATGGCTCTGGTCAGTGTGCATGCCTACCTTTGCCGGGTGTGTGCTGTGAGGTCCCCGGGGCCCTAGAGGACAGACCCCGAGGTATCTGAGGATGTGTGTGTACCAAGGCCAATGACACCTGTTACGACTGCAGGCTGGGGGAGGCTTCATGGGAACTGGAGCATCCTGTCTCACTCACTGTGACCTCTTAGCAGGCCTGGGCCACTTGTGGGGAGTGTGGTGGCAAGTGGCTCCTGTGCTCAGCCCATGGTGGGATCAGAGCCAGAAAGGAGCATTCTGAGGCTCAGTGTGAAGTCAGCATGAATGGGGGCTCCCCTTAAATGATAAATGAGTCCCACCAGGGGAGGCTGAACTCAGAGCAGGGCCCCTGGCTCCCTGGAGGCAGCAATAGCCAAAAGCAGGCGGAGGGCCCAGGACACATCCACTTTCCACATCAGGAGTGGATACCACCATCTGGTTCTGCCATCTCTCCAGACTGGTGGCGTACAACCCGTTTCCAGCTGCCTGCTCAAAAGAAGTGCCTGCTCCGGTTCTGAGTGTGGATGTGCTGGGAGGGGCCTCTGGGCTCTGACATCGTCAGAAGTCTTAGAGAACTTTCCTAGACGGATGGGGTCAACTGGCTTTCTAGAGAGGCCACTTGGGCCTCGGCAGGTTTCCCGGGGACAATTGCCAACATGTTGTCAAGGAGAATTTCTTCCCGAGGCTACCGTGCACGGTTTGCTAAACGTCTACCGCACATGCAGCGAGGGCTGTTAGACGCCAAGGCCCGGCGACGCCTGTCCACAGAGTACACTCGCTATCGCAGAATGGGGCGGGAGTGCCAGGTGCGCGTGCAGCACCCGAGGGGGTGGTCTCCCTACAAACAGCTCTTTCAGTTTTCTGACTGCAGGATGATGCTTCGAGGGGAAGCCACACACACATAAGCTTTCACCTCTTCCGACAGTTGAGTTCAGTTTGGGAAGGCAATCACTGTCCTGGGAAGAATTTGGGGCCAACCCAGGCCCTTCCACGGTGTCCTCTGGGCCCCCGGGGGTCTGTGGTGGTGGGCTTTGCTGGGGTGGGTCTGGAGCCCCTTTGACGCCTGAGGGGACAACCGTGTCCACTGCAAATAGCCCCCACATCTGAGCTCTGGGAAAGGTACTCTGGGGACAGGCACATTCGGGGGGACCTTTCCAAGGGTTGCCTTGGCCCCCAGGTGGCTGGAAAGGCCCAAGCGTATCCCTCCAGCCTTGGCGTTTAACCTGATTTTCACCTGAAATGACTGATATAGTTTTCAGGGCCCGGAGGACTCGGAAGGTACGTAAAGCTGAGACATTGCCCAGGTCCACAAATTCAGTGGTGTATCTGTAACAGGGGAAATTCACACACAAAACAGTGACAACACACCAGGAGGACACACGGTCAGAGGAGGGGGGTGGGGGAAACAGAGAGAGAGTCACTTGTAGCTGAGATCTGGGAGGCAAACCTGAGCATCTTACCTGGGATAACTGAAATAGTTTTTAGAGCTCTCAGGACTCTGAAAGTTCGAAGAGCCGACAAATTGCCTAGTTTTATATTTTCTGATACATACCTGCAGAATCAAACCACAGTTATTGGGAATTACAAAGCGGCACCTCAGCCCACCCTCCCCGACCAGCCCTCTCTCTTCTCCCGCTCCCACGGGAAGGGCTGGGCATGACCCGCGGCCTCCCCCAGGTCTTATTCCTGCTTTCATCCCTCCTGCCATGGGACCTCGGCGAGGATGCCTTAAGAGAGTCCACAGAGCAAGCTCCCAGGCAGCTCTCTTGGTGATGGTCCCGTGAACAACCGGCGCTATCCTGCCATATGCTCCACGCCACTGGAGACTGTGATGCATGGCCACATAGTGGGGTCTGGGGCTGGGGACATGGCCAAGAGGGAAACTCCATTTTCCAGGGGGAAAGTGATAAAGGAAGCAAGCGGGTGTCTGGTCCTAGCTGTGCTCTGCATTTTCTGCAGTGTCACGGGCTCATGCCTTGAAGCTCTGACCTGTGGGACTCAGAAGCCCCAGAGACCACTGTGGAGGCATGGCTGGGGGTCTGAAGGCAGCCTGCTTGCTCCTTCCAACCACAAATCTCTGTGCAAGGGCTGATTCAGGAGTCCCTGAAGTCAGAAGGTGGCGGTGACCTGAGAACTCAGAGGGAGAAGACTTCCCAAGAAGATGCTTTGGAAGGTGAGACGGGAGGTTGCCCAGACAGTAAGCTCTTTGACCACAGGCAATGACCAACACAAGAAGAGGAAAAAAGCAGGTGTGGAGTCCTAGGCATGTGCCAACCCCTCTCCCACGAGTACACCTTGGAGTACATGTCTTGGTGTCCCCTTATGATGGGTCTCCATGGAAGGAGTTGCCTTGGGAAGGAGCAGCCCTCCTGGGGATGTGTCCTGCTCGGGCCTGAGTGGTGCTTAGCTGGGCTGAGTGGCCATGGGCACAACTTGGACAACAGATTCCACAGGCCCAGAAGGAAGGCGTTGGTTCTGGGGGGCTGGGTCCACCTAAGCAGAACACAAGGACACGCGTGGATGGGTCCCATGACCAGGATGTCTGAGCATGGATGGACAGTGTGTGCCCAGGGCCGTTGGGAGAGTGGCAAGTGACTGGTGATATTTAATCAAAGGTTTCACATCCAGGGTGTCTGACATTTAACCGAAGGTGTCTGATGTTTGACAAAGAACAGCGGACTCTGGATGGCTCATGTGTAACCAACTGTGTCCTACCCGGTGTCTGAGTGACGTCAGCCCAGGCACACTGGGTGAGTGTCGAGGGTGGGTTGACAGGGCTGATGGACTCACTCTGCCAGTCATTGTGGCCCTCCAGGCCCTTCCACTCTGCTTAGAGCTTCTGAATCTGCCTTCAAGCTCTGGGGGTCTTCAGGGAGGGACCTGGCAGGCTGCACCAAGGGACTCGGTGACCTGAGGTTGGTTGGGTCCAGCCTGGTCCAACGCTGACACCAGCTTCCTCTCCGTCCACTCGTGGGGCTCCTCCATCCTCATGGGGCGCTGTGGACCAAGCCTGCTCCCTCCTCACTCTCCATATCCCTTCAGGGATGGGAAGTCAGCAGACTCATTCTCAGCAGAACTTTCCTTCTGTCTACACCAGGTCCTTTCTATGGTGTGGTCCATTTCTTCCATTTCTCCCACTGGACTCACAGCAGCCTGCAAATCTTTCTTGGGTGCAACAGTCAGATAGAGCCTTGGCTTCCGATGGGAGGTAAACATCACCTCATCTGTTGATTTGGTTGAAGCTCCCTCTCAACTTTGGATGGCTAGTCCACTTTCTGTGAGGGCTCTGATCCTTAGGCCTCTGAGGGTCCCACATTCTCCTCTCAGGCTTGGACTCTGTCCTGACATGATGTGGCCATGGGACTGTCAGGAGGAGCCTGTTCCATTGCCAATGTCGCTGTTACATGGAAGCCATGGTTCTAGCCTGCAGGAGGCTCTGGGTCCATTTTCTGTGGCTACTCCAGTGGGTGTGCCCCAGAACAGAGTTTTCTTGCTGAGGACACTGGCGTCAAGGCTGTGTCTCCTGGGTATAGGGAATGGGCAGAGAGCTGTGCCAGAGAGGGATCCAACTACCTCAGTCTCTTGTCCCTTCCAGACCCTGTCTGTCCCCTCGGGTCTCCAGGGAAGCCCTGCTCATCTCCTGCTTGGATTTAGCCAGTCTGTGCCCATCCCAGCGTAGACCCTGCCTCCCCCATCCCCTCAGGGTCCCTAACACCAACAGTATCCCTCTAGTCAACACCTGCTGGCCACAGGGAAGCCAAGACCCCAAGGGGTATGCTCCCCATAGCATTCAAGGCCAGTGGTGTGGCTGAGAACGGGCAGGGCCAGCGGTCAAAATACTGAGGAGGAAGAAGCCTGGAAGGTGGGGTGCAGGAGAGGCTGAGGGCAAGGTATGTCTGTGAGCACGTCTGTGACATGGGGGCCTGCTGCCTCTTTCACTCAACCCAGAGCCTGGTGCCTGACTACTTCCCATCTTGGGGCCCTAGACCCTCACCGAAGCCTCTCTTGGGGCCCTGGAGTACGGCAAGGCAGGAGAGACCCTATATCTAGCAAAGGGGCAGCTTCAACAGTGGCCCAGAGAGGGGTGGAGCAGAGATCCGTGCTGCCCAAATGCTCCATCAAGCCATTCTACTCTTTCTGCGGTGGCCAAGTCTCAGAGCAGGGGCAGACAGCTGGGGTGGGGTCGCGGGCCCTGACAGAGAAAGAGCAGACAGTGGTGGGGTAGAGGTCTACCCCATCACACCAGCCCCAGGGCGAGAGGAAGGCTCCTGGAGGCTGAGCAGCCCTGAGGAAGGCAGAGCCCGGCCTTCCACCTGCTCGGCCCCCATCCGGGTATGCAGCCTTCCCGTTCCAGGCAGATGGCCCCGCCTGGGCTGCGAGGCAGAGGTACAGCCAGCACGTTAGCTACTGCGGTGATTGTCACCCTCTCCTCTCTGCCCTCCCTCCCTTCCCCTCCAGGTTTGGTTTCCATAACAACCCCAGAAGGTGGGAGGCAGCTGGTAATGCCCAGCTGAAAGGGGGGCCACAGGAAGAGCTCTGGCTGGAGGGTTGCAAGTGGAGCCTGACAGGCTTCCTGGCACCCTCCTCTGGCCCTCCACAATCTCTAAAGTGGGTGGGACTGGGGATCAGGTGGAAGCCTAAGTCAGAAACATCAGATTAGGGGTGCTTCTCAAGGTTACGAGTTAGGAGACCTGGTTTGAGTCCCTGCGTTGTTGCTGATTCATCCTACAATTTGAGGCAAGGGGTAGGCTCTCTTTGAGCCTCAGTTTCTCCATCGTTAAAACCGAGGGGAGGCAGGGGAATGTCACTGAACAGAACTTTCCTGCCACTTTGATTATTCTAGGAGCCCCACATTACTGAATCACTTTGGTTATAGCAGAACGCTTTTCACTGCATCACCACAGCAGTAATTCATTGTTTTCACAAAGCAGGAGCACTGTCAATCGAGGTGCTGGGCCAATCTAGCCCAGGGAGCAAATCTGGCATTCCAGGCAGCCCCAGGGGAAGTGAGCAGGCCATTTCTTGTGAGTCACTCAGAAACGTGGAAGCAGTCTGGTGGCCTTGGAGGTTTCGCTCTGCTTTTTCAGCCCTGGGTCAGTATAGAATGAGGACAGGAGGCCTTGGTGAGCAAGGCCCTTCTGCTCTGCGATTCTGAATGAAGGGAGTAGTTTCCCTTGGGATTCCGTGGGGGGCTGACTGGGATTCTCTCACGAGACAGGACAGGAGGACTTCCTAGGAGCTAGATGGAGAGGACTCAGAGCACTGCCCAGAGTCACGGGCTGAAGCCAAGTTAAAACTTGGCTCCTGACATCAGACAAGGGGCCCAGGGTTCTGGGCATGTTGTTGCAATAACCCAGTTCTCTGCTCAGGCTCCAGGACGGGAAGGTAGGGGAGGCTTAGGCAGACGCTGTATCCTCCTCCTGTGACTTCAGGCCCTCAGGGGTCTGTGGATCACCGCTCACCTCCCGCTGGGCACCTGAGAGCCGGGGCCTAGAGATCCTACCCCACTCTCATCAGTACTGGCTCAGACACAGAGCACGCTACCTCCCTCCTCACAACTTGGACGCACCTCCCAGCTCTGGGCTCTCAGTTGATGACCCTGCTTCTTGCCACAGAGAAAACAGAAGCAATCAGAAGAGAAATCCCTTCTCTCATCATCGGTTCTATCAATCCACCCCCACTGCCACTGGGAATTCTGTCTTCCCTGCTCTTAGGGCCAACACTCCTCCCAGATCCTGGGTTCCCAACCCCTCGGGGCCAGCTCAAGGGCCTTGCTCCTGCAATCGGCCCCTTTCCACCATCACCGACTTGCCCTCTCTCCTGGATCGTTCCCATCAACCTGCACAGATGCTTCCTTCTTTAAGGGTCCTCCCTTCACCCATCCTCCCCTCTGATCACCATCTTACCTTGGGTCCTCTTTTAGAGTAAACCCCACAGACCAGATGGGTACACCTGCCCTCCTCCACTCTCCTCCCACCCTCCCTCGAGCCCTCTCTAATCAGGTGTGTGTCCCCCGTCTTGTCAAGGTCAAGGGCATCTGCCACTTTTATGCTGTGGACTCCAATAGTGCATCTCGGGCCTCACGAGCCTCCTTCGAGTCACGTCCCCTCGTTGGCTTTCAGGACACTGCTCTCTCCCCGGGGGTTCCCGCCAGTCTCTCTGCTCCATCCTCCTTCTTCCTGACTCCATGATGTTGGAGCGTCCCAGGGTACAGTCCCCAGGCAGCTTCCCTTCCCTGGCAACTCTCCCAGATGATCTCATCCGGTCTCCTGGCTTTAAATACCATCCGTATCCCGATGGCTTCTAAATTTATACCTCCGAGTGGACCTCTTTCCTGAACTCCAGGCTGGAAGATCCAGTTGCTGATTCGGTGTCTCACCCTGGATGCTTTCATACTTAAGATATTCCAGACCGGATATTCGAGTCTTCTCCTCCCTCTGTTCTCCAGGCCGACACGTGGTCACACCAGCCACCCAGCCGCTCAAGCCAAAAGCTGCCTCGAGGTCTCCTGTCAGCCTTACTTTCAAATACCCCCAGAATCTGACCATATCTCACACCTTCTCCACTGGGACCCTGGTCCCAGTCACCATCCTCTCTCTCCTGGCTACCAAAACAGCCTCTGCGCTTACTCTTCCCCAGAGCCCCACCCACAGAGCAACCAGGGCCACCTCCCTGATGGTGAAGCAGAGTGCGCCCCGCCCTGCTTTTAACCCCCATCGGCTCTCATCACACACGACTCTTCTCAGCCTGTAGGGTGAGGTCTGTCTCCCACAGCCCAGGGCTCTTGCCCTTGTTAGCTCAGCTCTGTCCAGGCCTAAATCGACACTGGACCCGCGGCGAGTGGTAGCCCCTCTCCGAGCCTCGGTTTCCCCACCTGTAAAAGGGTGGGCTGGGGTCAGCTGACCAGCAGTGTGCCTAGAAACGGGGGCTCTGCTGCCTGTTCTGACCGGCAGACAGAGAGCGCCCCATCACCAAGGTCCAGCTTCTCTCTTTCCCTCTGTCCTCCACCGTACGGCTGAGCTCAGAGCTGCTCACAGCCAAGGGCCAATGGAGGCTTCGTCATGAACAGGCGGATTTAGTCAATCTGAGAAACCTAGAAAGCAGCAGCGGAACTGCACCTCAGATACCACCCAGCTCAACACCACCCCTTCACCGGTGGGGAAAGCGAGGCTCTGAAGGGGCAGGGAGTATAACCCGCACCGGCCCTGCTGTGGCCAAGGTGTAGGGCCCAGCCCTGCACACACTGGGCTCTCCACACACATCAGTCTTTCAGAAAGGGTTTGACGGCTAAGCCCCTGACCACAAGTCCTGCATGAGAGGCCTGCCCTGACCCCTCAACCCCGCCAGAACCCAGCATCCGTTGTCTGAGATATCCAGAGTGGCATGCCTCAACCCAACCCCTCAGCAAGAGGTCTCCTCCCAGGCAAGGAAGTGGGGCTTCAGCCGGTGGAGCAGCAGGCCTAGGGTCATGTCTGCTCACTGAGACCCTGGATTCAGTCTGCTCATCTGTAAAATGGAGATAAGGAACCCCAATCCCGTCTACCTCTCTGGCTGGTGTGAGGACCCAGTGGATCATGTCGGTGACTAGGGGTCTCGCAATGTGCCAGACGTGGGGTCTGTGAGTGGAGATTGAAGCCACGCCAGGGTGCCTGGCAGGAGCTCCTGGGGATGTTTGGCCACTTCTCTGGGCTCCTTTGCTCTCTCTCCTGCAGTTTAAGTCACCTTGGAATCCAGGTCACTTTTCATAGTGGCCCAGAGATTTCAGGTTGTAACACTGGTTTCCCTTGATGGAAAGTGCAGAGGGTGCGAAATCAGAATCTTAATGAAGCCCCCCTTTGAGCACAAGGCTGCCATGGAGCCACAGATGAGCCAGTGGCCCTGACCCCTAAGGAAGCCTGAGCTACACTGAATCCGTCTCTCCCCACCAGGATGAGTCGAGGGCCTCCATGCCATCTCCCGCCTCCATAGCAGGAAAGTGGGTTGCTCTATAGCCACCTGCAGAGCTGACGTGGCCTCAGCCTGGGGCCAGGAGTGGTGCCCACGCCCCTCAGTGTGGCCTCTCCCAGAACAGCGCAGCGACAAGGTACTTACGCCATGATGATCACACTGAAGTCCAGCCAGTTCCACGGGTCCCGAAGGAAGGTGAACGCGTGCAGGCAGAAGCCTCGAGCCAGAATCTTGACCAGAGACTCGAAGGTGTAGATGGCAGTGAAGGTGTACCTGGGGAGGAGAGATCAGCGGGAGGGTGAAGCCTGCAGGCCAGGTTGGCATGAGCCCTATGCATCTTTCCCCCTCGCGAGGGCCCTCACACCAGGCTCTTTGCAAAGCCCCCACAGCAGAGCTGGAGTTGGGAGCTGGAGCTTTGTTCCAAAAACCTGGTCGGCTAATGCATCATCCTGTTTACTCAGCATCGTGCACAGGGCTCGCACGTTCCCATGCGAACTCTCTATCTTCTATCTCTTGGTTATCTTGATGTAAGAAGACCCTCCACCTATCTCCTCCCCTCAGCCCTGGGGCCACTGTAGGACTGTCAGGACACTCAGAGTCATGGCCCTGCACTTTTCTTTGTGGCTTCTGAGTGGATAGCGTGGTCTATCGTCAACCACCTACGGGTAGGTGGGTACAGGTGTCTACCTTGGGCTTTGAAAGGGGGTTGATGTTCTAACACCTGAGACTAGAAAAGGGCTATTCTCTGTGCTTGGGGCCAGCTGAGCAATCCCAAATGCTCGGATGCTGGGACTGCAGCCCACAGGGCCAGATGAGGAAAGGGTCACAGCCCTGCTGCTCCCCGGGTCTTAGCAGCTGGATGCAGAGCGCAGCATCAGTGATGCTGCTGGGTCCTGCATGAACAAGGCAAGCCGCCTAGGGAAGAGAGGCTTCCCCAGCCTTTTGTTGAGGGCCAAACGCACCAGGGGTGTTGGGTCCTCCTACCCAGAGGTCAGGTACTTTCATTTGGGAAGGAAGAACTAGGCAGCTTTCTAAAACTGGTTATAGAAAGTAGAACTTAGAGAAAAAAGGCAGCAGAGTGTGGTACTGAGCTAGGGAGAGTCCGGGGCCTTTCGTGGTGCCCACAGCCCCCAGCTGCAGTTTGAATCAGTTACTTCTCCAGTTCTCTCTCATCTGTCAAATGGGCCCAGTGGCTGTGCCTGCCCTATGGGGTTGCCGTGAGGGTTATGGGACATGATGCATACAGTTCTAGGACAGTGCCTGGTGTGCACTAAGTGTTCATTCAATTATTAGTTAGTAACGTCTCTGTGCCTTCTCCAAAACCTTCGGGTGGGTCAGGGAGAAAGCCCTCCTTTTGTCAACCCTCAGGAGAGCTTCCTCTCCCGAGGCCACAAATCAAAGCAAAAATTTGGCAGGACTGGAAGCAGCAAGAGAGGGAAGGGCTGGGCCAAGGGCACCCCAGGTGGGTGAGACCTGGGCCTCTGCTCAGGTGACCTTGAGGCCCAGAGTCTCGAATGGGAAAGGCAGAGGGGGCAGGGCCTGCTGGAGAGGCCTGGGGATACTCACTCGACATATTTGGTCCAGGGTGGAGGGTCGTGCTGGGCCATGAACACGCAGTTGGTCAGGATGGTACACATGATGAGCATGCTGAAGAGCGTGGCGCAGTGTCAAGGAAAGTCGCCTGCAGGGGGCCACCACCAGCGGGCCCCACCCCTGGGCTCCACACCACCAGGCCAAGGCTGCCAGGTCGACGAGACGAGGGCTCCCAGGAGACACCCCGGGGCTCTGCCCAGTCCTTGCCAATCCCTCCCCTTTGGGGCCAGACACCTGCCCTGCTCCACAGCCTCTGACAGGGACCAGACCCTTGAGTTTGAGCTATTAGCAGAGTCCCTTGTAGGGCCCATCCCACAGGGATGGATGGAAGGAAGGAACCTCCCAGACCTCAGAGGTTTTTACCCACGGCCGCATGGGAGCCATGTCTTTGGCCACACTGGAGGGAGACGGGCATTTATAAACGGCTGCTCGGAGGCCGCCGTTCTGGGGAGAGGGAGGCCACGACGGCAGGGCTCTGAGTGCCCTCCTCCACTTCTTCGGGAGTGGCCCAGGCTGACCTTTGAATCAGGACTTCTGCCAAAAGGTACATGCCCTCAGGACACAATAAGCTGGAGGGAGCAAGACGCCACTTCTCGGCCGCTGCTTCTTTCGCGCAGGCTCTTCACTCTTGGCCTCTGCTCCACCCAGTACCCTGCTCCTCTCCTTCAAGGAGCTCCCCTCAGGGCGGTCTGCCCCGACTCCTTGCTTGTTGCACCCCCAGGGCACCAGGCACCCCTCTGTTAGCATGGCTGCCTCCCTGAATGACAGCGTCCCTCTGTTCCCACCACAAGGGGGGCTCTTTAAATGCCACGACTGTGTCTTGGGCATCTTTGGGGCCCTTGGCCTCGAACTGAACTGCTCCAGGCCTTGTCTGATCCCTGACTCCTTGGCTCCAAGTCCCAGACGCTGCCTCAGACTGGATAAAGCTCTGACTGACTGCCATGGCCTCCCTCACTTCTACCAGAACTGCGGAGGAACACAGGTCAGACGCTGGGCCTCCTGTGGGCGGGGACACCCATGAGGGTCCCGGCCCTGAACAAGGACACTCTGCTGCCCTCAGGAATCTTCTCCCAAGTCCGACTGGGGAAACTGGGCCTCCCGCCCCCTGTAGCTGCTCCCAGGGTCACCATCTTGCCTTGGCATTGGCCCGTGGGGCGATTCGCATGGACGCCCCAGGTGCTGCAGTAATTGAACTCCCGGACCTGCGTTTTCCCTCCCCATCACAGTTTCACCCTTTCCCATGGCCTGCCCAACCTCAGGCCCAATGCGGAGTCCAGTGCAGTCAGACCAGAGAGGGGGCTGAGCTAGGGTTTTGATTTCTGGAGGGGGGCTGGTCCAGCTGGGGAGAGAGGTGGGATGTCTTCCACACCTCCAGTGCTCCTTCGAGAGAATCCAGGGAATCAGGGAATAGCATGTCAGATCCAGCCCCCAGTTTTATAGCGAATTCTCCAATTTCTCATCTGAGATGACAGGGATCAGGTTTGGGGACCCTCACCCCTAGTCAAACCAGGGTTCAGTTCAGTTCAGTTGCTCAGTCATGTCTGACTCTTTGCGACCCCATGGACTCTAGCACATCAGGCTTCCCTGTCCATCACCAACTCCCGGAGCTTGCTCAAACTCAGGTCCATCAAGTTGGTGATGCCATCCAACTATCTCATCCTCTGTCATCACCTTCTCCTCCTGCCTTCAATCTTTCCCAGCATCACGGTCTTTTCCAAGGAGTCAGTTCTTCGCATAAGGTGCCCAAAGCATGGGAGTTTCAGCTTCAGCATCAGTCCTTCCAATAAATATTCTGGACTGAATTCCTTTAGGATTGACTGTTTGGATCTCTTTGCAGTCCAAGGGACTCTCAAGAGTCTTCTCCAACACCACAGTCCAAAAGCATCAATTCTTTGGCGCTCAGCTTTATTTATAGCCCAACTCTCACATCCATACATGACTACTGGAAAGTCATACGACTTCTGGAAAGCTGGTAGCTCAGCTCAGAGGCCAGGGCTGCAGGGAGCCCTGACTTCTCCCCAGCTAGGGGGTGCCTCCCCAGACACTGGGGTCCTTCCCTCAGCTTGGTATCTGTCCCTTCCTCTGCCTGGGGGAGGGTCTTCACCACTGGGCCTAGCTCCTTCTCCAGCATTCAAGGGCAGGTTAGATAATCATCTCAATAGCCCTTCTCCCCTACACACACACACACATTCCTCACACCCCGGCTCCCTGCCAAGGCTTTCCTCACTAGGCAGGGAGTTAACAAGCCCCTTAACCAGCCTTTATTCATCCCCAAAGATCCATTGCTTACCTGTCTACTGAGGATCAGATGATTCCTGACATATGAAAGTAATGATGCTAACAGCAAGTATTTATTGAGCCCTTCTTAGGCACCAGGCTCTGCTCTCTGCATCCATTGACTATTTCTCTTCTCCCAAGAATGCAGGAGGTGGAAACTTCTTCTCCATTCTAGAGATGAGGAGACTGAGGCACAAAGAGGTTACCTTGAAGGATACTCTAGTAGGTAGAATAATGCCCCCCAGCAGAGAAAATCAAGTCCTAATCGCTGGATATAAACGCTCATGTAGATGGCAAAGGGGACTTTGCAGATGTGATTAAATTAAGAATCGGGAGATTATCCTGGATTATCTGGGTGGGCCCAATGTCATCACAGGGTCCTTATAAAAGAGAAAGAGGCAGGCGTCAGCATGATGTTTGTGAGAAAGACTCCACCAGCTGTTGCTGACTTTGAAAATGGAAGGGGGCCAGAGCTGAGGATTTTCCACAGCCCCTGGAAAACAGAAAAACCTAGAAAACGGATTCTCTCTGAGAACCTCCAGAAAGAACTGCGGCCCTGCAGATACCTTGTTTTTAGCCCAGTGAGATCTTTTTTGGACTTCTGACCTCCAGAACCATAAGATGACAAGTCTGCATTGTTTCAAGCTGCTAAGTCTCTGGTAATTTGTTATAGCAGCCGCAGAAAATGACTGTGGGTCCGACCCTGGTCAATGGCAGAGCCCAGATCTGAGACCTGGCCATCCTGATGCAGGCTCCACTCTGAACTCACCATCTGCTGCTGCCTCACCATCTCTACACGATGACAGCAAAGTCCCCTGGCCCCTTCCCTCACCTCCAGATTGAAGGGCCTGTGGGAGTCACATTGTTTCAGGCCCTCAGCCACCAAGCGGGAGTGCTGTCCCACACTTGGACTCTGACACCTACACGGCATGATGAAAACCACGGGGTGAAGGGATCTGTAAAGTGTGCGCCGACAGCCATCCAGGAAGATGAACTGAATTCTTTGTCATTTTTAAGAACCCACCTCACATGAGCACATGGGCATGGCTCTGTGTGGGAGACAGGGAGACCTCCAAGCCATTGAACTGCTCCGAGATAGGAGATTATGAGAAATCAGACTTGTCTCTGGCAACGCTGAGCAAGGAGGCTTCCTGGAGGAGGCATTCACACAGGCTCTGGAGGCTGGTTAGGGTTCCTCCAGCAAACAGTCAGTCCAGCTGTTCCTGGGGAAGCTCAGGACTAGAGATGCCTGTCTGAGGAGCCAAGCCTCTCCCCGCTGTGGTCATGCCACTCACGGCTCTCATCAGAGTGGAGAAAAGGCAGCTTGGCAGAGAGCAGCAGTGTGGACAGGCTGCCTTGGACCAGAGGACTTGGCTGGACACAGACAGGGGCGAACTGCAGTCTAATATCAAGACCTCGGGAAGGGCCAGAGCAGACAAGCCTTCTGAGCCCTGCCAGCCACGGCCTGCGCTGCAGGGGGAAGGGAAGGTACCATCTGAACGAATTTTGGCTTCTCCAGACACAGCAGTGCCTTAGCGTGAGTTGCCTGGACTCCAGTCTCTGCCACTTGACTGCTCAAAACCCTGCCTGGCTCTCCAGTTCTTGAGGACGGCCCTTCCATTGCTCTCAGTCATATTCGGGGAGGGGTGTGTGTGTGATCTTTTCCTATGCAGACTCTGGTCCACGTGACTCTGCCCAGGCATCCCTGAGTTCCCACGGAGCCACCACACGGCCAATCCCGGAGAAGTCAGGTGCGCTCCTGGCCAGGGCACAGATGTTGGCACTGCCTGGCGGCTTCAGGCCGATGACGGAGCTGGTTTCATGTGTGGGCAGTGGCAGAGGCCAGCTCTCCAGGGCTGAGCTGAGCCGAACATCTTCAATCCTGTCATGTCATTGTCCCTAAACACCCACTCCCAGCCTCATAATTAAAACGCCAGCAAGGACTGCCAGCCTGGGTTGTGGGGAATGCCTAAAACTGGGGCTGCCTGTCTTCAGATGCTAAGGAGTCAAAAAACTCCCAATGAGAAGGGAATTAACAGTTGGCGTATTTTCATATATTTGTTCTATTAAATGAACACACCACACACACACACACACACACACACGATTTGATTGCCCATTTGAATCTAGAAGAACGTGGGAGGATTTTGTGAACAGATCCTGTGCACCCAGGAAGGCAAAATGCTGCTCGCCATGAACGTGCGGCGTCTCTGAATGTGACTGCAGTGGAATTTGGAGTTCTGTTGGTTTCTTTTATTTAATCCTGGCAGGAACACATTCTGCAGGATTATAACAAAAATACATCGGGAAAAAAAGTTCTCCATGCCCATATTTACTTTTTAGGCAACTTCCCAGGGACGCACTGCGAGCGTGGAGCCCAGAGCAAAGCTGAACGGAGTTATGGTGCGCTTGCCAGCCTGTCACTGAGAATGCCTGGATTGTCACAAGCGAGAGGAATTTCTTTCTGGAGAGCAGGACCTGTGTTCCTGCCCCCTTTCAAGTCAGTCTTTGTCCCTACTGCCCTTTCCAAAGGGCCTGGCACAAAACTTTGCACATTGGGGGCTGAGATGTTTGAATATCTGTAGAAATGTAAGCAGACAATTAGCTTCAGTTTTGCAACATGAAAAAGTTACGAGAGATCTGTGGCACAGCATGAGTGCTCTGGACACTTAAGAATGGTTAAGATGGTCAATTTCATGTTATATGTTTTCTACCACACAAAGTGTGTGTGTGTGCACTCAGTCACTTCAGTCTTGTCTGACTCTTTGTGACCCCATGAACTGCGGCCCACCAGGCTCTTCTGTCCATGAGAGTCTCCAGCCAAGAACACTGGAGTGGGTTGCCATTTCCCTCTCCAGGGGATTTTTCCAACCCAGGGATCAATCCCACGTCTCCTGTGTCTCTCGCACTGCAGGTGGATTCTTTGCTGCGGAGCCACCGGGGATGCCGGCACATGTGTGTGTATACATATGTATATTCTGTGTTGTGCTGCGTCACTCAGTCATGTCCGACTCTGCGACCCCATGGACTGTAGCTCATCAGGACCCTCTGTTCTTGGGGATTCTCCAGCCAAGAATACTGGAGTGGGTAACCCACTCCAGTATTGAATTTTATGGTATGTGGATTTTATCTTGATTGAAAAATGCATGAAGAGCTTGTAGATTTGAGGGTAACCATGCCCTCCGCCAGGGGATCTTCCCAACCCAGGACTGAACCCAGGTCCCGCACTGCAGGCGGATTCTTAACCCTCTGCGTCACCAGGGAAGCTCAAGAATACTGGAGTGGGTAGCCTATCCCTTCTCTAGGGTATCTTCCCAACCCAGGAATAGAACCAGGGTCTTCGGCATTGCAGGTAGATTCTTTACCAGCTGAGCTAGCAGGGAAGCCTATCTATATACAGTCATATATCTGTATCTATCTATCTATACACAGAGAGAGAGGGGGAAATTTTGTAAATCTATCTATCTATCTATACACAGAGAGAGAGGGGGAAATTTTGTAATTCAAGACCTGAAATCTGTATGCCTTAGAAATGCATGGTGACTGCTGATGGGCATGGGGCTCCTTTTTGGTGATAAAAATGTTTTGGAACTAGTGGTAATGGCTGCACAAACTTATGAATATACTGTACTGAATATAAAGTGTACTGAACTGTACACTTTAAATGGTAAATTTTATGGTATGTGAATTTTATCTTGATTGAAACATGCATGAAGAGCTTATAGATTTGAGGCCTCACACTGGTGGTTCTGGTCTGGAAGGGGCTAGGCGTCTTCATTTTTAACAAACTTCCCTGGTGCCACTCAGACTGACATTTAGAAGTGATTGCCTTTGAGCAGTGAGTGCACAAATCATAGTTGTTTGTTTGTTGCTGTTGTGCCTGATCCTTTGCAACCCCATGGACTGTAGCCCGCCAGGCTCCTCCGTCCACGGGCTTTCCCAAGCAAAAACACTGGAAGTGAGTTGCCACTTCCTTCTCCAGGGGATCTTCCTGACCCAGGGGTTGAACCCCCATCTTCTACACTGCAGATTCTTTGCCAGTGAGCCACCAGGGAAGCTACAGATCACGGAGACTTTCCTAAAACACAGGTTCTGGGCCCGAGATTCAGCAGTTCCTGTGAGATGATTCTGATGCTGCTGCTGCTGATCGTGTACCACACTTTGAGGGCAAGACCCAAGGACACAGGAGGGCTGCTCCCCAACCCCACAACCCAGGCCCCTCGTCTCCCTCAGTGCCTCCCGAGCCCGCTAAGGGGCGCTTCCATCCCCAGGTAGCAGAGCATCAAGGAGCCGCTAAGAGCCCAGCGCGGGGCCTCCCAGCTGCTGAGCCGCTTCCCTGGGGCAGCTGCCCTGGGAGACGAGGCCCTCCTCGGAGCCCTCAGGGCTGGCCCTGCCGGGCGGAGCCAGCTCCTCACAGCCTCGGAGCCAGCACTTGGCAGACCCTCTGGCCAGGATGGGGACTGCGTTGTCCCTGCTGTCCCCCTGGCCCACCTGCCTCCCTGGCCTCAGCCGCCCCATGGTCCAGCCTTACAGGGACCCCGGGGCTACAGGTGCATCCCCAGGGGCTGAGCTGACTGCTAGAGAGAGCTGGTTGGTTAGATACCTGGAGGAGAAGCCCCAAGCGGGAGCCAGAGCACGCCTGCAGAGAGGCCACGCCCTTGCAGTGAGCCCGCACTGCTCTCACCAGGCTATGCCCACACGCCGGCAGGAATGACAACTCCTCATGTGGTTGTCTAATCACTCTTGGGCGGGGGCTGGGGGGGGGGCTGTAAAATTCCCAAGGGGGCAAGGACAGGGACTTATCCAGTTTGATAAGCACCCCAGAGTGCCAGGCAAAGTGTGTAGCACCTCCAGGGAGCTTGGGAACAGCTCAAAATTAAATCCAGAACCACCCATGCCTCACAAAGTAGGATGCAGCTGTGAGTAGTAGGCTGCTCCATGGATATAGTCCCTCCCCACAGTGTCTGCCCACCCTGGAGACCACCCTGCTGATGCCACAGCCACGCCTAAATGGGGTGGCGTTCCCTGGATGTACACGTCTCAGGATCCCCAGGAGAAAAGTTGGAGGGGGCCAGAGAGCATCTGCCTGCAGAAAACAAACGGGCCCTAAGGCCCTCTGAGTGGTCCCTGGGTTTGGGATCAGCGTTGGGGCACAGGTGGGCAGACCGCGGAGCCAGGAAGAAGCGCCTCTCATCCCTGCCTGGATAGGAAAGGCCCCCTAAGTAGTCATCATTTGGTGACTCAGTTCCCCACTAGACAGCCATTTTCTCCAAGCCTCGTGCCCTGCCCAGAGGCCTTGGCCTTTCATCCAGAAGGGGAACGGAGAGGGGACTTTGGGGACCTCCCTCGGGCCCGACCTGCCAACCCCACAACTAATCACACTACTGAGCCCAGCGGCGTTGATCAATTAACAGCCAAGCCAGCTGCAGCTAAAGCGAAGCTGCCCCAGCCCTCACGCTGAAACATAGGTGCCTCTGACTACATAACCAGACACCCGCCCTCCCCAAGAGGCTCTGCGTGTGGGATCCCTTTTCTGAAGTCCAAAGAACAGCCATTTCCCTGTTCCATGCTCGGTCTGAATGGGACCCTTCTAGGACTCAAAGACCACTACCCATCCCTCATCACACCACAGCCCACCCATCGGTCTCCTTCAGGCTGTGGTTTACATAATTTAACGCTAACCAGAGTTCTTTGAGATGCTCTGAAACTGCAAACGTTTTGTCAACACCTAATCAAAAAGCAAGTGTTGCCTCCCTCGAAAGAGGCCCACGTGTGACTAAACCAGAGGCCTCCTGATAGGGAAGCAGTTTCTCCTTGGCTGAGCCCTGGTGACCTGCCGGAGGTCCCTGCCAGTGGGTGGGGAGGTGCAGGGTGTGGCAGGGTTGGGTGGGGTGAAATGCGAGGGGATATGGGGAGCCAAGACCAGAATCAGGGGACACTGACCAGCCTCATTTCTTTTGGTTTCCTTGATAGCTCAGCTTCTAGGACGCTTCTCTCCTGAAGAATCAGCCAAATCTCCCAAGCCTTCATGTGTCCACTATCCCCCAGGATCTTGTTAAAATGCAGATGCTGAATCGGTAGGTCTAGGGTGGGGTCTGAGAGACTGATGTCCAACCAGCTCCCAGGTGAGGACTGACCAGGAATCAACATTGCCCTCAGTCCTAAACGCCCTGTCCACCCTCCTTCCCCGGGTGGGGCCCACACAGCAGGGATGGATTGCAAAGGATATGAATGAACCAAGATCTTCACAGCCACTCTCCGGATGGGGTGGAAGGGGCTGAGGACATACAAGGCGTTGGTGGCACTGAACCGGAAGATGGTCTTGCCTTTGTTCAGGACGATGAAGGTCTGTGGACAGAGACCACTTTAGGTAGGGTGGCAGCCCTAGGTCCTTATGGAGAGGAGCTCTTGGGGGGCAGTTGTGGGCTCAGAGGCCTAGAAGTCTGGCAGAGGGGTAGGGTGAGAGGAAGAGGAGAGGGCCTGACAGAGGGGTGGGGGTACTGGCAGCTGGATGGTAAGTGGATCCTCATACCTATGGCTGGGCTGGGACAAGATCAAGTTCAGGGGATTGTCAGGTTGGGTAGATTTAGTTTCATCTCAATGAGAAGGGGCCTTTCATGATCCTAGCTGAGCTGTCATCATAGCAGAGGCCAGGACCCAGCTGATGCCCCCTGGTTCCCCTCTCCCTCTGACCCCTCTGTGCTTCCCCACTGGGCCCACTGAAGACTGAGCATGCGATGAGGGAGCTGGGTCAGCAGGGACAACCAAAGAGGGATAAGAAAAATATAGGACTCAGCCCAGGAGACAGAATCTTTCCCTGGGACCCTGTCTCCTGGAGTCCAGGCAGATGGCATCTCCAGCTGACACCAAAGGCCACGACCTGGAGTCTTCCTCACCAGGGTCATGTGTTGCCCAGGGTAAACTTCACGTTTCCGGAAGATTCTATCTACACAGCACAATGAGGCATGGGAGTGGACAACGGGTGCTGGAGGCTGCACCATAGCACATGGAGTGGGCATCTGGGCCCAATGCCGTCTTTAAGGACAGTGGCCCATCCCCGCCAGCTACAGCAGGCACTGCTGAGGTGGCAAGGCCTGGGGCTGGGCTTCTCCCAGGGCTGAGCTGGTGAGATAAGGTTCTACTTAATCTGGGCTAGGGAGACAAGTTGTCCAGAAAGATCGGGACTGAAAGTTCTGCTGTGTTACCTGTGTCACCCCATGGGGTTGCAGGCAGTGTGACCAGGCATCAGCTAGGCAAGGCAGGAGGTTAGAGACCAGAATCCTACCTGGGGCCACTGCTCAAGTATCCCCGGTCACAGGGACAGGAGAGTGTTCCTGACCGCCCCCAGGCTCAGCTGCCACCAGCTCCCAAAGCCCAGATCAGCTCTGGCCCACTCTCAGTTGGGTCCCTCTGCCATGACTCCAGGCTGTGAACTCCAACTCCATCACTACTTTGATGCACCACTCAAACCATGACTTGTCCCAGCTGTGGCCTTAACCTCAGCCCTAATTCCAGCTCTGACCAACCAGGATCTAGGCCCTCCCACCTGACTAATCCCAATATGGCCACAGCCCTCACCTTCACCCAGCTTGAGTCACCTGAATTGGGGGGTGGGGAGTGAGACCAAATTCAAAGTCTCTTCTCCCACATGTGCACATAGCCTGGGTGGGCTTTACCTCCACCCATGCACACGTGTGTGCACACAGGGAGATAGCTGTGCATCACTCCCACTCTCAGACCCCTGGTCTCCTGAATGCAGTCTCAGTGCACAGTGACACCCCGCTCAGACTCCTGGTAACACTGACACACAACACTCACAAACACCAGGTGCTGATGCTTGGCCTGGGAACACCAACCTGTCTGCCCCCAGTGCTTCCTCAGCCCGGGGACTGACTGCAGTGACATGCGCAGGACCCATCTTCCTCGGCACCCAGCCTTCTGGGGAGAGGCCTCCACCAAATTGAAACCCACCTTCCCCTGGCCATGTAGCCCAAAGTGTGGGCAGCTGGGGTGGGATTCAGGCCTCTGCAGGAGCCCTGGGTGTCCGTGGTCTGGCCAGCTACAGGCCTGGGCACACGGTCTTGAGAGGTGAGGCCAGGGCAGGGGCCCCAGATGGGGGAATTTATCTCCTGGGTAGAAACTCATGCTGGAGGAAGCTTGAGTTACCCCATCCACATGGACAAAGGGCTTCCCTGCTGGCTCTGATGGTAAAGAATCTGCCTGCAACGTGGGAAACCCAGGTTTAATCCCTGGGTCGGGAAGATCCCCTGGAGAAAGGAATGGCAATCCACTCCAGTATTCTTGCCTGGAGGATTCCATGAACGGAGGAGCCTGGCGGGCTACAGTCCACGGGGTTGGACATGACTGAGTGACCAAGACACACAAACAGTGGACCAAAGCCCCTTCCTCTCCCTACACTCTGAAGGGACAATGGCAGAGCCACCGGCTTCCCACTCCTCTCAGATTTCCCACGAGCCGTCACAGTCCCATCACCAGCCCACAAGGCCCAGATGCTGCTGCTGCGGCCCCCAGCCTGAGCCGTGCTGGCACAGCCAGTGCCCGGCAAATTCTCTGGGGCAGGGCGGCGGGGGCTACATGCTGTCCCTGGTTGGGGGAGGGATCCCATGCTGTGCTCTGAGGCCCAAACTCAACTCAGGACAGGACTCAGGGCCTGACTCCGACTGGCACACACACCACGGGATCAGGAGTCCTCCAGGGCTGGAAATCTGACCACCGACTAGTCCCTGAGTAGATAGTCCACCAGGAGGCAAGATTTCCATAGTGGTTGCCTGCTCTTTCCTTCATAGTACCGAACCATCTCAGGCTGCATAATTCTGGGCTGTTTTTCTGGAACTCCAAAGTTAAGGCGATTGGAATATAGATTACTAATGACTTACTTCCCGGAGGCCCAAAGGAGCCAGCCCCAAAAAGAGCCCCGTATGCAGACGAGACCCTCTCCCTGTCTGCCTGGTCGACTGAGATGCTGCGGGGAGGTGGGGTGGGGGTGGGTGGCAGTCACCTTTTGAGTGCTATAGAAGGGGTCCAGGTCCTCCAGGGGCTCCCCGATGAGCTCTCGGGGTGGGTTGCCGTAGAGATCCGGCAGCTTTTTGGAGGCCTGCAGGTCCAGCTGGGGCCGGGGAGCCTCCTCCTCGGGCAGCCCGTCGCGGCTCTCCTGCGAGGCGGCGGAGCTCCGGGCCTGCTTCTCCGCCATGCGCTTCTCGATGGCTGCCAGAGACTCCCGGGTGAACCTGCGGAAGCTGCTGGTGCCCCGAGGTAACAGGAAGTCTGCCATCTTCTCATCCTGCTTCTGGGGCACAGGCTGTCCTCACGCTGCCTGTAGGGAAGCTGAAAGACACACAGACATGGGGCTGATGCTGCACCCAGGGCCGGGGGGCACGGTGGTCAGACCTGGGGGGAGCGTCTGGGCCTGCTGTAGGGAAGGACCCACATCCTTGCAGAGATGTCCCCCACCTCTCCACAGGCACACCCGGCAGATGCCGACCCGGGGAAACCCGGAATCCTCTGGTCTGCGGGGAATGCAAGGGGATCTGCAGGAGGGGCACTCATACCTTCCCCATCCCAAGGAGCAACTTTGGAAGCAAGTACGCATGAGACACTGGGTCACCAGTGACCCTTCATTCTACCCTATTCAATACAAAAGGAAACCCTCACACCTGTGGGTTCCCTGACCAAGCCCACTTTGACACACTTCTCACAACTGGTGCCCCCCCAACCCTCTGGGCTGAGGGGTACACTCCACGGGAAGGGGCTGGTCATCTTTTCCTCCCAGATCTCTCACAGGACTGGTCCTAAACAAATGAATGCGGGGATGAATGATGAACACGCAGGCGACTGGCAGGCGCATTAGAAGGTGCCCGGTGCTGCCTTCCTCTCGGTTTGCCTCTTCTACAGGACACCCTGGGGCCCTGCAACAGTGATTAGAAGCCTTCCGGGCCAGGGTGCGAACCCTGGGCTTCTTTTCCAGGCAGTTCTCTGGCCTGAGTGGTGGGACCAGAGGGCGGGGGGCAGTTTGTCTGGTCTTCCCACCGTGTACCTGTGTGGGGGAGGGTGCCCAGACTTCACCTGGGGCACGGAGGTGCCAACATCTGGCAATTGCTGGGGCATCTGGATCTGCTGACCGAGGCCCAGGAAAGTCCTGCAGGTTTGGGGAAACAGCTGGGTAACAATTTGGCAGCTGCCATCCAGATGTTGGCAACCTGGTGTACACAGCTGCCTCAGAGCCCACCCCACCAGAGGATCTCAAGGAAATCCCCGAGGGAGACAGCCTTCCAGAGGTGGGAAATGCTGACGGAGCATCCCAGACTCCCCCACGCCTCCACTCGCTCCCCTCCCCCTGAGTCTGAACAAACCCCGAGAGATAGCAGAACCAGAAAACGGTGACCCCGCCTCCGCTAGGATGTCCAGCATGTGACGCCATCCGGGGAAAATGTGGCCCCCAGTGGCCTCAGATGATCCAGGACCTGGTGTGAACAGGCTCTGACTCTGACACCAAGGCTGGACAATGTGTGCCCGACCGCCCCACCAAAACAGGATGTGGTCAGCCCAGCTCCCCAGGGGGACACCTCAGCCAATGGGAGGGGGAGGCCGTGTTGCTAATGACCACATCAAACCCAGGCAGGGCCGGGCACCTGTTGGAGGTCTCTGCCAGGACAAAATCCCTTTCCGTCAAAGATCGGCTTGGCCTCGATCTGACTCCTGACACACGTCACTGCTGACCCCAACAAGCGGCCGCCACCCTGACCCCTGCGCATACCCCGCCAGGGCCGGGGCCCCAAGCACCATGAAGTAGGCGCCTGGCCAGGTGACAGGTAAACAGTGAGCAAACACAACACAGCCAAGTCTCAAAAGGGCGCCTCTGGTCCCGGGGGAGGCATGGCGTGGAATGTGTGAAGGGAAGCCAGAGGAGAGAGGTCCCAGGATACTGTCAGAACCACCCGTCCTTCAGCTACTTGCTCTTCTCTTTCCCTCCAGTAAAGTTAAAGGGATATCCTTGTTGAAAAGAGCAGGTGAAGGAGTAGATCCCCCTTTAATCAAAGGCTGTCCCTCTCTACCTCCATCTTTGAAGCACAAAGACAGGCAACTGTATGTAATACTTATCACCAAACGTGAATGGTGATGTTTTTCCCCTGGCTGGTGGGAATTTAGGTAATTTTAAACTTTCTTCCTCGTGCTCTTCTTCAGTTCCTGAAATATTTATGATGATTCTGTGCTACTTTTACAAAAACAATAAACTCATTATTCTTTTTATTTTTTTAAAGAAAGAATCCAGCCTGGATGCCAGCAGCCCTTCCTTGCAGGGCAATCCTCTTCACTCTGAGCAATCCCTAGTCCTATAAATCAGGAAACCTCCTCTCTTGCCTGGAATTATTTCCTAAAAATAGTGTTCTCTGTCTCACTGTATCCATCTGTGTCCACACGCCTGCAAGGTTTCTGGAGACACGTGGATGCCCATGGACCTATGGAGTCTTTACATACCGTGTGTGTGTGTGTGTGTGTGTGTGTGTGCGCGTGCAAGCTTGCACCTGCATATACATCTGTTCCAGTAAAAGTGTTTGTAAAATTTGTATTGAAATCAACTTTTCGTGCAGATTGGTGTCCACATCCTAAGTGTACACACATGTGGATGAATTTCCACAAAGTGAATTCACCTAGTATCTAGCATCCAGGTCAGGAAATAGGTAACTTCCAGTTCTTCTGAAATAGGTAATTTCTAGTTCCCCTTCACTCCCCAACTGAATAACCATTCTCCTGACTGCTAACAGTCAGGAGACCAGCTCTGTCTCTGTGTTCAGAGGCACCTAACAGACCTCTTGGAGTGATGGGGAAAAAATTTGGGGGAGGGGATTGCATCTCATTCTCAAATTAACCTCTACCTGAAACTTAACATCTCCTTCCATATGAATATAGGCAGCAAAATGGAAGGACCAGCATTACCAGTGACCAACAGAAATGCAGCTGTTTCCCTGTCCATGACAGGGGCTGCAATATCTCAAATATCATTAATGCCATGGCCACTTTAAAACTGAGGCTACCCAGGTGGTTCGGTGGTAAAGAATTCACCTGCAATGCAAGAGATGTGTGTTCAATTCCTGGGTCGGAAGATCCCCTGGAGGAGGGCATGGCAATCCACTCCAGTATTCTTGCTTGGGCAATCCCATGGACAGACAGCCTGGTTACAGTCCATGGGGTCGCAAAGAATCAGGCACGACTGAGCAACTGAGCATGCACATGTATTCGAACCATTGTTAGGTATCATCTAGTAAAGTAACCACGAAGCACCAACAATGGGGCCCTGGGTCCTGGGAAGGATCTTTCCCCAGCTGGCTTCCAGCAGGGAACCAAACCCCTGGAGCTTGGTGGTTTGTGAAACCAGATTCCAGAGGAAGTTCCCGGCTCCCCAGCAGCAGGGCAGCTTCAGGTTCCAAAGTAAACCTGCCAAGAGCATGCTTTGTCTCTGGGTCCCCACAGGCGGCCCACTGTGGGCGGGTGGGATCCGTTTTCTCCCTTGTTCTCCGCTGCCTGCACCTGCCTCTGGCCCTGCCCTTCCCTCAGAAGCTCGGGGCCCATGCCCTGTTGAGCCTGAGGCTGAGACTGGCTGAGCCCTGGCTGCAAGCTTTCCAGTGACACCAGGGTAAGGAGACGTCAGAGGAGACCTGAGGACACCCCAGAATCCATACCCTTCTGGCATAGGTGCACAGGCCCTCAGCTTTGTCGGAAGAACCCACCTCTGGCTGGGGAAGTACAGGGGGCCTCTGTCTCTCACAACTCTATCATGTGGGGGAGCCGGTGCCAGATTTGATTCAAAGCTCACACAAAGGTCACACTCTTCTAGATGCCAGCATTTCATGACTCGCACCCTCACCCAGGACAGCCTCTCCATCTGCACCAACTTCTCCACTGGCAACAGTCTCTCCACCTGTACTAGTCTCTCTACTTGAACCAGTCTCTCCATTTTGGACTGCCAGGAGATCACATCAGTCAATCCTAAAGGAAATCAGTCCTGAATATTCATTGGAAGTACCGAAGCCGAAGCTCCAATACTTTGGTCACCTGATGCAAAGAGCCGACTCAACTGGAAAAGACCGTGATGCTGGGAAAGACTGAAGGCAGGAGGAGAAGGGGATGACAGAGGATGAGATGGTTGGATGGCATCACCGACTCAATGGACATAAGTTTGAGCAACCTCTGGGAGATGGTAAAGGACAGGGAGGCCTGCCATGCTGTAGTTCATGGGGTCTCAAAGAGGTGGACACGACTGAGCGACTAAACAATAACAACAACTCCGTTTATACCAGCTTCTCCATTTGTACCAAATTCTCCATCTGCACCAACATCTTCACCTGCTCCCTAGGCTGGGTCAACCTCTTCCAGTTGATCCCTCTTCCTGGGCCAGTTTCCGCTGTTTTGTTACTTAAGCTCTAAGGAGCCCTTACTCCATCCTGTTCCAAGTCCATCAGCGGATTACCACGTGCATCTCTCCCTAAGTTCTGCTGGCTCCTGAGAGTTCTTGGGGGCTCTCAAACCGGCTCCTCCTGACATCATTTCCTCGGACACTGGCCACTATCCCCCAACTCCACCAAACATCAGGCCGCCATCTCCACAGTCACTGCCCTGGGATGGGCTTCCTGGCTCCAAGTGGGACTCGTCTGATCCCACTGCCACCACCTCCTCCCTCTTTCCTTCCACCCACCACGTGTGGCTCCCACCACTCCTTGGCTGAGACACTCCCAGCACTGCCGCTGGCCTGTGCGACGGCCTGAGCATGAGTCACCGCAGGCTCCTCTCACTGCCCCACCTACTCCAGGAGGCCCTCTCTGACTGCCCCCACCCACACTGACCTCCCTCCTCTGGGCCAGGAGGCTGAGCCTGCATCCTGTCCTGGAGCCCTTTCTGGCCTCAGCTGCCCTCTGACAGTTGGTGGAGTGGGTCCGGGCTCCCCAGGCATGTTGGAAACCTCTTCTCAGGGCAAGGCTGGGTCCCTCCCTCCTCTGAGTCACTGGCCTGTAGGTACAGGCATTCACATCAGGGAGGAGATGCTGCAGGAGGAGAGTACTGACTGTTCACACCAGAAGCTGGACCTCCCTAGACGGTCTCATCCTTTTACACCTCCTGAAAGGTTTCCTGGATACACGGGGCACACAGCTGGTGCTCAGTCAATGGTGGTTATGATGCCAGGACATGGGACACGACAGCCTGGCAGCCCGCAGTGCAGCCGCGTAGTGTCGGGGTGGAGGGACACGCAGACATGCAGGGTGTCAGCACTGAAATTCC